CCAGGGGAGAGAAAGATACGTGGGACATTTGTCATGCCATGGATATCGGAGACGGCGTTCCGGGAACTGATGTTGCTCGTGACGACTGGTGTGGAGTTTTCCTTCGGTGACATTATGTACAGGCAGGTTGATGGGGTAGCCATGGGCTCTCCATTGGGTCCAGTTTTAGCGAATGTGTTCGTTGGTTACTGCGAGTCACTGATTGCAGAACAGTTGTGGCCAGCATTGTACGTTCGTTTTGTTGATGATTCCTTCACCTGGTTTGATTCTCTTGAAGATAGCCAAATCTTTCTTGGTATTCTAAATGACCTACATCCTTCCATACGTTTTACGTGTGAACACGAACAAGCCAACAAACTTCCCTTTCTAGACGTCCTTGTGGAAAAGTCTAGTCAGGGTACCGTAACATCTGTGTACAGAAAGCCTACATTCACCGGCCAGTACATAATGTTTGACTCGTATTGTTCGTACCAATACTAGGTGAATTTAGTGCGTAACTTGGTGGATCGAGCAGAGCGTATTTGCTCCTCTTCCAAACGAGCTGAGGAACTGGACTTCCTTAAGTCCGTTTTTCTAAAGAACGGGTACCCTGACGATCTATTGAAGGAACTCATGAGCGAAAGGCTGGATAAAAAGGAAAAACGTTTTGGCCCGGACAAATGTCCCACGTATCTTTCTCTCCCCTGGAAAGGTAACCTCTCATTATCCATGAGTCGCTTGGTACGGAAAATTGTACAGCAAACTTACTACGCGGTACATTTTGTACCCGTTTTCACAACTGTACGTGCGTTCACGGTGAGGAAGGATGTCCTACCAACCCAACTTGCATCTAAATTGGTATACCAATTTGAGTGCCGACAATGCGGTAGTCGGTACGTTGGTAGGACTCTTCAACATCTGAACGCACGTATCAAGCAGCACGTCCCACTGCATATGCTGACTGGCTCGGCACGGGCACTGCGACCAAAACGCGGCAGGCCACTGAAGAACCCTCGGCCACAGCCATCGTTAGCACAATTTCCGTCATCGGCAATAGTGCCTCCATTACCCGTATCGAGAGCCTTGGAGTCGGGTAATGGGCATATTGTCACCACAACACAATGCACCATAACAACACAAGATAACACACCACAACAACATTCAGCTCAAGACCAAAGTGGACGCTGTGATGAGGTAATGCCCTCATCGCCGTCTTTGCCGTTGCCTCCCCCAGAACCGCCACCTACATCTATCATCGGCGGTGCTGGGGCTGAGTCTGTGGTGCCGGTGGCACGTGCATATATGGATGAGGCAAGCACTGATTGTGAACAACGAGAAAGAAGGCTGAAGGGAACGGAATTCAACAAAGAAAGTAACACAATCAACATTCAAAGACCTAGACGATCAACGGCTAATTATTCAATGAATTATTACAGTACTGAAGATCAAGCACCGGCGAGGACACTGGGAACACAAGATTTAACAACAACAACAACAACAACAACAACAACAACAACAACAACAACAATGGTAACAAGTTGCCATCAAGATCAAAGGAGGAGTCAACGAACAGAGGTTAAACAACGTCAAACGAGCCTGGGACCGATCAGTGTTGATGAGGAGAATGACACGGAGGACGACACTGAGGACGAGTTGGGAGATGAAACGGAGGACGAGGTTGCGGTTGTTGGAGACGAGGAATCAGATGGTGATTGTGATCGTAAGAAGTCTGCCGTTTTTCTTCACTTGTTGTCTCACCCTAAGTGTCTGCAGGTGTATGATGATTTTAGTTTTTCTGTTCTTTGTCGTGCACGGTATGCTAGTCAGTTGAAAGTGACTTGAGGCTGTTTGTATTCGTTTGCATAAGCCTGATCTTTGTAAGCAGAAGAAACATGTAGTTGCGTTAAAATTGTTTTCGTAGGTGCACAACATGATTGTTTGTCTCGCTACATAGTTTTAGCGTTATAATTATTAGTTTTTCACCCACCGTTGCACTTAGCTCTCACTTCACTGCTATTGTCTCACCTTCCCTCTTTCTATTTTGGCACTGTATTTTGTTCTCGTAACACATCATTGAATGTATATTTAATCATTGTTCAGCATGGTTACTCTTCAGTCACGACTTTCCACTGATGAATGTGACAAGAAAATTAATTCTGGTAAACTTTCATGACTTCGTTGTAGTGTGGCGATGACTGCAGAATTTGTTCTTTTTATTGCTATTATAAAATACTACAATAAATACTATTTATAAAATACTACTTTTAGGGAAAGTGTAGGTCAACATTATGTACTTCGACTCGAGTATAGTAAATGTAGTAGCCTCAGGATTCATTGCAATTACATACCAGTTGTGAAATTGCCATAAATCCTTCGGCTCTACATTTATTATATACGTATAACTGTGGTTATGGGTCCAGGCGCGGCAGAGTACGACCCGGTCGACCTGGGGAGAGAGTCATAACATTGTACCCCAATCCACTTACGGAGCACCTACGTTATCAGAGCCCTATCTATGTACAGTCAACTTCGCTAATAACGACTGCGGATATAACGACAATTCGCGAATAACGACAGAACTTCAATACCCAGAGCAAAGTCCCATCTACCTGCGAATAAGGGCACTTTTCTGATGCCCCGCCGAGTGTCGTTATACGCAAAGTTGACTACTCTCCGTAGACAACTTTCCGTAAGTGGAGTGCAAATTTGCGGATTCACGGGTTTTTCCCGTCCACTAACGTAAAGTTGCTCAACTTAACGTTAGTGGACGGGACCTTACTACAGTACTAAGTTACTAGTTACTTAAAGGGAAGTTAAGGCAAAAATCAAAAGTTCACCAGTTGTAGTCTTCGGGGTGCTGAGTCGAATGGTCTTGGTCCGAGGAAGCTGAGATGCTTCCTTCCTACTTTAATCCCAATCGAACTCGCGCACTTCCACCGAAACTGGGTGACTGCGCCCTACTAGATGGGGATTTGTATGCAAAATGTCACTAAAAGCGCCATTTAGTTCTTATAAAAGCACGTATGACCGCAATTGGCCCATATGTTGTAGTCTTTTGGACGCTGAGTCGACTGGTTTTGGTCCGAAAAGGCTGCGATGCAGCGTTCGGCCCTTATTCCCAATCGAACATGGTTGAACAAGCGGTCACGTGCTCCTGCGTACACCAGTCACCTGGTCACCGTGCCTGCAGGGTACAACTTACCTTTTTTGGGTGCAGTCCTGTCACTCGAGTTGAACTCGAGTTGAACCTTGGTGTGAAAGTTGTCGCCTGCCTGCTGGTCGGGGATGACGATGTCCGCCGACTCGCCATCCGCGCTGGTAGACAAACTGTCGGCGGCATTCACCGCCGCATTCCGGGATCATTTCTTGGTTCTGCTCTCAGAACTGCTGTCTCCAGTGACAGAGCTGCCGGTTTTCCGCTTGCGTAATCTTCCACTTAGCGTGGACAGGGATAAAATCTTGGTAAGGCCCGCCGAGCTTAACCACGCCTCATTCTCTTTCGACGCCATTTTTCAGATTTATTTTTCATATGGTCCAGTATGGATTGTTTCTAAGAACGTGCTATAAGAACGCAGCCAGATTGCTGAAAAAATAAGAACGCCCCAGGCTAACCCCTTGGAAACAACGTTCTTGGGCGCGCAACTCTACTCTACTTGGTGTACGTGAAGCGAGTGGCTGTGAACTTTTTGTCCCCACAGCTACAGGGCCGAACTTTGACATCGCAATGTTTTTTTGCGTTTTTTTGCTAGATCCTCCGTTCACTTTTTTGTGGTCCACAACTACAGTTGTGGCAAGTGAAATCCAATACTTGGCATAAGGAACAACTTTCAAACTTCCGACTGCACCATGCAGTCTGCAGCCCCTGCAGCCCTGTACACAGACAGTACATACAACTTCATCTGTCTGATGACAAAACTTGTACTCATCACAGTCAAGGTTCAAAAGGCGCTGGCAAAAATGAATGGGGATTGGATACCAATACTCCTTATTGTGTACCATGTTTGTGAACTGTGTGTATCTACACTGTGACCTTTCGATCTGTTTGTGATGAATACGGCTCTATAGTACAAATTAGGTGCAGTGCATTACATCATTGGTGTCCATTTGTGGCGCTGTCCCCAATGGCCAAGAGTCCATAAACAAGAGTATGCAACTGTGATCTCTTTTCTATGGGCCAGATGCGCGGCGCGCTGCCTTCATTACATCATTCAGCTGCAGTCCGCGACTCCGCGCACTGCGGAAAATCAAACACTGCACTTTTCCTCTGGTTTGAAATGAACTTTCGTACGGAACTGGAGTTCACGCGCTAGAATTTAGAGATTGCGTAGGTACTGGAACGAATCGAGCAAAAACAGATGGGCTCGTACAAGAAATTGTGAGTTTAAATGCATGCTTTCAGAGCGTGATGAAGGCAAGTTACGTAATGAAGGCAGCGCGCCGCGTACTGACCCATAACCACAGTTGCATACTCTTGTTTATGCATTCTTGCTATGGCAAGTGTCGGATTTCACATACAACAACTGTACCTTTGCAAGATACTGCAGTTTCCGCAAATTTACCATATCTGGTCCACATTTTTCACTCTTTTCGCCCGCAATTTATTGCGCAAATTTCTGGATCCCCCCCCCCCCCCCGCGATTTTCCAGGGGGACAGTAGTCACAGTACTCTTGGTGCAATGTCATCATGCCTACTGGGACCACATGAACTAAAGTGTGCAGCTCAGCATTGCTATCACAGCTATACTCCTGGATTCATCGTTTTAGTAGATATTAGTCGTACGAGCAGGACCCAAGCTGGCCCGCTGCACAACAGCTGCAGGCCAATTGAATGCACACCACGTACCGTCGCATATCTGCTGCACTAACAACAACCATGATGATTGTAATCAAGCTAGGAGATTTTTCTGTGACAGAGAAAGTCAGGAGTTGCATACTCTGGTTTCATGCACTCTTGCCCCAAAGCGCGAGCCACACGGCTTCAACACGCCACGTCAATAAGATCATCCCCGAAAGACCAACAGTAAAAAATGCCCAATTTGGCACAATGATCAGAGATGTACTTTGTGTAGCAACAAATAAACTTTGTCACAAGACACAAGTAATGATTTATGTGCAAACTGACGGAGTACATGCCAGGTCTAATGGACGGCATGCGGTGCACATAGAGCGAGACCACTGAAGAAAAACAGTAGTCACAACGACATAGAGGTACGCAAATTTCTACATACTGAATGTCTCTTGTCTGCATGACCGGCAGACGGAACGCAATTCAAATGCTCGCCGCCGGACGGGCGAGCACCAGCACAGCACAAGAAGGTCCACACTAAAAATGATAGCCGTGGACGGACCCCCATGCACTTATCTACCACGCGCGACACTGGTTGATAATAATTAACAGCACACAATTAGGATATGCCGGCAGGGCAAACGCAGTAAGTACCATATCACGCATCCGGGTTCTGGATCTCGCCGCGATTTGGTTGATCGGCGCAATTCACGCCGAACGAAAGGATCGACGCAGGGTCGATCTTCTGCATCTTCTTCTTGCGACGGCGATTAGCACTCGTACCGCCACCTGATGCGCCTCCAGTGGCTTGCTGGTGAGTAGACACACTTGTTGCCAATTGTGAGCTAGATGCCGAAGTGGAAGACTGCTGTTGCTGTTGCTGCTTAGCAGATGAGCCCGCTCCGCCACGACCATGAGACACAACCTTGAAGTCCTCAGTCTGATTCTGCCAAGAGGACAAGAGAAAGAAAGAGAGGACAACAATCCATGAACACAATCCTGCATGCAATAGCAAGCCTGGGGCTACCCGTGCACAAACACACACACACACACACCTCGACCTTGCCCATTGCGTAGCGATGATAGCGCATTGTTATTTCTCCAGTCCACGACAGAATGACTGATGGCCTTTCAGGTCGCCGCTTCGACGGAACATGCGGCCGCAGGCGCAACCGTAGCCAGCAGCAGAGGGTGCCTTGGGCGGTCGACGGGCAATGGTACGCCACTCCGGGCGGTTCTGGGCTGCATCGTACCATCCGCATGCTGGTACCGGTGGCTCAACCGACGCAAAGTCATCCATAATGACGTCCCTACATCTCTTGCGTGGACCATGCGGCGGGCGCGGGGCGGGCAGTTCACCGAAGAGCACACACTTTGGCAACCGGTGATCCTTCATCCGTGCCACGTGTCCAAGCCAGCGCAAACGCCGTTCCCGTATGATGTGACCAATGTCCTCAGGCACTCCAAGGGTCTTTGCAAGGGCTGAGGACGTTGCGTGGGTCTCCCATTGCTGCCGTCGCGACACTGACGAGGGGTGAATTCCCCGAAGCACTGTGTATTGGGCAGGGAGTGGTGCTTTCTTGCAGGTTTGCCGAGTGGACGGTTCGATGGACTTCTCGGGTGCTCTGGATGGCAGTCGTGAGTCAGTCAAGTGAGAATTAAAGTCGGCAGGAAAACCGCGAGCTCCCATGTAGGGAGCAACGCACTCTTCCCAGACTTTTTTTGCTGAATTACTGGTGTTTAATGCGCGCGCCTTATACACCGGAGACTAAGGCCCTCTTCAGACTAGGTACAAAAAAGCCTTTAAGTCGCATTTACATAGAAGTTTCCAAGACAACTACAAGAATCTGGCGGGAAGCCTAAAAAGCTGCTCAATCCTTTCGGGCAGGGTGGGCAACTTTCCTGTATTTATCGTACTTTCACAAGGCAGTCAGACAAATGTACAAACTTTGTACGACTGCCGGCTGCTTTCACACATCCCAGGCCCCTCGCGCAATTGTGTAGGGTCAAAGGTTGCTTGTATGTTGCATGTAAAATGTGTAGTCTGAATGCATGGAAATATGTTGCCTTTTAGGTTTTATGTGATTTTGTACTGGATGTTCTATGTACGTAGTCTGATGAGGGTAGAGGGGACGGTTCGATACCGGAATGGTTTGACAGCCAAATTTGTATAGACCCAAACCAATCATCAGCGTGGATTGCTCACTCGATATATGTTTGTGGAAGGAAACTGGCATGCTGAAGTTTGCTCTGAGGCCAGAGTCAATCGAACTGAGCCACTGCTTTGCGTTGGCCCATTGCATCCAAGTTGCGCAATTTTTCGCTTCAAATCAGAGGTGGCTCCAAACCGGAAAGGTTTTAGAGTGCACGTCAAATTCACTCCGAGTTCTGAAATTAGGTAATTGCTATCGCTCCACGACGGCCAGTACAGAGGAACAATAAGCCTAGTGTGAGCTTCCATTAGTTTTCATTGGTATAAGGTGCTTTATTGACGAGAGGCGAGCCGCGGTTTACCTGCGACAAGAAGTTGATTCTTCGAAAGATGTAAAACTCAAGTCGCAGTGAGAAGCAACACGTCAAAAATCCACCTGCTTGGTGTGGCGCTTCTGGTCATCGCAGAGCCATGAAAATTGTGCTCGGAGTAAAACACATCGTAGTCTAAAGCGGGATTCACAGAAGCTTTTTTGCGATGCGACACGCGATGCGACAGACGCGAAACCGGGAAAACCCCAAATCGCAGCCATGTCGCACCCCACGCAACTGCCGCAACTGGGCCATCGCAGGCCATCGCAGAAGTTGAGCTTGGCTCAACTTTTGCGATGCGATGCTATGCGACAAGCGATTTGGTGTACGATTTTGACCTTTTCTACAGCAAAGTTGTACAAAGGTGCAAGAGTTGCCTATAAATTTTTAGAAGTTGTGTCAAACCGCGCGAATATCCTGGTGACGTACCCAAATCAGCAAAACTTTGTCGCATCGCTGACTTCTTCTGTGAATGGTATTTCGCGAGTTCGCATCGCACGCATCCATCGCAGATCGCGTCGCATCGCGTGTCGCATCGCACAAAAGCTTCTGTGAATCCCGCTTAACTGTGACATATGTTTTCTAATCAAAATACCGAGAGAAAGTGAATATTGAGTCTGCTCCGGTTTGCCTATTTCCTATTTGAAACCGTCCCCTCTACTCAAAAATAAGTTAAATAGCCATGCCTAGTGAATACCCAGAAAGCACAACACTGTAAATTAAAGCACCGAGGCAAGCACTACGGCGAAAAATGACAGAACACCACGCGCAGCAATGCATAGTAAACAACACCAAACACCTACAGAAATAGCCCCCACATCATGCCACCCGCTCTCACCTTGCTGCTTTTAGACGTGTTGCCACCGCGTCTCTTCTCGATAAAGTCGCGCGCAAAGTTGTTGGCCGCAGTGTTATCGCCTAGGTAGCCACGCACATAGTCGTGCAACTGAAAAGCAAGCAAGCAAAAATCAAACCAAGATAAAAAAAAATGAGAAGTGCTGACACAGCGTGACATCAAGGAACAATAGAGCATAGATCAGCTAAAACTGGCTGGGCAGCAATGAAACCAAAAGTTGTCCAGAACGGAGAATGTCGGCACCAACGTAGCTGCAAACCTCACCAGAGGAAGAGGAGAGCAGGGAATTCAGTGCTATGATAATCTAGCGGCCATTGAAATTTTACAAAAAAGCACAACCACTGGGAAAAGATTGTGCCTTCCCCTTGATGACCGCCAAGTCACACTTCAACGCATACGCTAAATGGTGACAGACACAACAGGCAGACTCTACTGGGAAGTACACGTATAGCATCGTGTCAACAGAATGCAACGACTGCATGACACACACACACAAGCGCGCGCATGGTACTCACCTCATAAGGTGACTCGACTAGCTTCAAGAACTGCACGAAGGTCTCCACTGTAGCACAGAGAGCGAAAGGCAAGAAATCATACACCATCAGATGACACAATGACAGTACGTGTACTGATGGTTAGGAATACGCTGTGACCCAACAACACACAATGCGGCAGTTGTTGAGTGCATACGCAGCAAAAGACAAGGTAGTAAGTGGCAAGTCTCAACACCACACGTCACACAAAGATGATTGTGGGAGGCTCACACGAGCAGAACTGCACTTCCTATCATGAAGAGTGCGTAGCAAACGTGATAACGTCCCTAAATGCTGACGATTTTTCAAAATGACAGTTCAGAACTTCTGCTGAATATCCTCGCATCCCCTCTCCCCTAGTGAAAACACATGCATGTTGTCAATTGTGATCCTTTTCCAGAGTACATTGATTTGTTTCACTACCGTGATTCTTTCAACTCACTTTTGAAGCGAACGCCACTTGAACCCCTGGCTCCCGAAAACAATCCATTTTAAAAGGCATTAGTGAGGTTCTGCCACACGGTAAAACGTACCAAAGTACGTATGGAAACCTCGCGGTTGTACGGGATCAAGTTTCACACGGATTTTCATACTGTTCTCTGCGTGTATCGCGCATCACACCGACTGGTCTCCGTGTCAAAATTGAGCGCACAGAGTACATGTGGCGGGGAGTTCGAGCATGCTACGCACAGCAGAACCGGCGCAACGTACGAAAAATCCGTGTTAAACTTCACTGCAGTTGACACGGAGTTTGGGACGCAATTCCGTGTAGCAGAAACTCACTATTTTCCTTCACGGACGCCGCCTGGCAACCAATTAATTGAAAGTTTTAAAAGAAAAGCAACGCATGCATCACACTAGTACACCACAGCCACAAGTGAACGGCACAAACGCTGTGAATGCACTTTCGCTTTGCATTGCTCGAACACTGGAGGGTACAGATAGCCGGTCACAAGCCCGCCGCTGTCCAATCATTCCACATTGACAAAGAAGACATACCATCCAGATCGACGTCGGGAAACGTCTTCAAGGCATTGTGACACCACTGTGAGAATTCATCCGCGGGAGCAGCAGTCTGCTGGAAGTGCTTGTACACGGACGAGTCCTGAACGGCACAAACAAAAGAGGAGACAACAAAATACTGTGAGTTGCATCTGACTAATCCCAGATACATGTACAGGCAAAATCCACACACACAAACACCCACCCACACACCCACACCCACGCACAAATTCACACCCACACACACAAATTCACACACACACACACACACACACACGCGCGCGAGCGGCCAATAGTTGAATGCAACTTGTATACGCAAGCTATTTAGCATTTATGGCTGAACCAGTGGTGCTAATCACGGGTTCCAGTAGAATTCGAATTCAACGCATAAACACCTTTCAGCAGTATTATAAGGACATTGCGGACTTTTCCTATGCACCACAGGCTGACAGTCTCACAGTACAAACCCCTGAGAGAAACGGACTCGGCAGCACTTTTGACATGGGTAGGTGAAACCATTTCAGTAAAAAATGTCTACAACAACTGCACACACACACACATACACACACACACACACACACACACACACACACACACACACACACACACCGTCACCACAACTATTTGTCTATTACACTGCACATGCATTGATCACTTGAAATGAGCCAACTCCACAGCTTGTCTACGGAGGGTGTAGGTGACAAAAAACCCGCACTAGAACGTGAATAACTAAATCAATAAGTCCACTAAGCACTCACATCAGCCTTGCTAGTTTTGCTGGATGATCTGCACACAGAGAGGACAGTAAGCAGATGCTGATCAATTCTAGAACTCCCTAAGCAAACTGGCAGAAAGCAATTCCCATCAAATGTCCACTAGGACAATAGTAATACCATGCAGGCCTATACTTCAATCAAACTTCAAGAATGAAGCATTTACAGCAGAGTGATAGCTGAGTTAATGTGCACGTGGAGAAATCAGAGGATAGCCCAAACCAGCACACTGTGAATTGCCACAACACCAACAAATCATACACACACTCTCCCCCCCCCCCCCTCTCTCTTTCTCTCTCTCTCTCTCACACACACACACACACACACACACACACACACACACACACACACACACACACGCACATGCACGCTCACACAATAGCATTGAAATGCCCTACACGATGCAGCAATACAAACTGGGCATCATGACAGACTAACAGAGTACTGTGTGTTTTCTACAGGCAAACTATACAAACATCCTCATGTGTCTGGCTCAAAGTAATTGAGCAACAGTCACAAACAAAAATGAAGGAATGTCGGCACCAACGTAGCTGCAAACCTCACCAGAGGAAGAGGAGAGCAGGGAATTCAGTGCTATGATAATCTAGCGGCCATTGAAATTTTACAAAAAAGCACAACCACTGGGAAAAGATTGTGCCTTCCCCTTGATGACCGCCAAGTCACACTTCAACGCATACGCTAAGTTGTGGCAGACACAACAGGCAGACTCTACTTGGAAGTACACGTATAGCATCAGGTCAACAGAAAGCAACGACTGCATGGCACACACACACACACACACACACACACACACACACACACACACACACACACACACACACACACACACACACCAAACACACACCAAACACACACCAAACACACACCAAACACACACACACACACCACACACACACGCACACACACACACACACACACCACACACACACACACACACACACGCACACACACACACCACACACACACACACACACACACACACACACACACACACACACACACAGAAGCAAAACAACTTACTTGCTCTTAGACGCAGAGGACTGACTAGCAGCGGGTGCTGCTGTCACTGGCGCCGAAGAGGGCACGTCTCGAGCACAATCATCAAAGAACGAGCCCCCACCGGTAGAGGATGAAGACGGCTGCGGGTGTGAACTGACGGCAGAGGCAGCAGACGCACGCTGTGTTTGCGATGCACTGGACTTTGCAGCACTGGACGGCGTCGGACCCCAGCCAGAGTTCTGTGGTGCTGCTGCCGGAGCACGAGTCGCGGGCGCCGCTTTCACGGCTGCCGATGGCGTCGGACCCCACGTGCCGCCGCCTGCATTGCTGGCTGGCTTTGCCGCCGCCACAACGTTGGCTGCTGTACCGGAGCCTGCTGTGCTTGCCCATGCAGCACCGCCGGACCGACTAGGCGTGCTTGCCGCCAGCTGCAGAGATACGCAACGAGACGGTGTGCGTGAGAAAGGAGTAGACAAGACGGCCATGAATGACGGGCGGAGAAGCAGATCGTATACATACAGAAGCGCTCTGTCCCTTTGCTCAACCATTTTAAAGCGTTTTCTGGTCCATACAATACTGTATAAAGCAGGGGCGGGGGGGGGGGGGGGGGGGCAGGACAGAAATAGCTGATATTCAAAGGTATATTCACTGGTTGAGGGAATGGAAAAGGGGTACTGTAAAACATGTTATTTTCGGTGTAACTTAATTTCGGTAGAGAAACCAGGCACCTAAATTTAAATTACACCTAAAAGGCATTTGCGTATGCACTGTATGTGCAAGGAACACTGGTCACCTAATTCTACAGTACACCTGAAACCTGGCAGGTCTCTGGCACAGAAATTTTAATGCACCTAAAATTACATGTTTTACAGTATCCTAGAGTTTGTAGGTTAGTCACATATGCAGCGATAACAGATGTAACTAGAGACAAGAGAGGGCAAGTGCAGCCTGACCAAATAATTCAACAGATTCATTGCAAATAGCTTACCACAGACGCAGCCGACTTTGGCTTCTGCTGGTGCTGCTTCTGACGGGATTGTTCGGCCTGGATGGCACGGAGGTTGGCCGCTGGCGCCACTGCACTGGACCTGAAGGAACAAAATAAACACGAGTGATGAACGAAAACAATTGAACAACATCAGCATCTACTCGGAAAGCTCTGCCATCGATGTGAATCTCCACTATCACATACACACCAAGTTTCCCATATAGCGGAGAAAAACTATCCAAAGTGCCTTATGACTTGACCTCCTGCTACCTTTGCAACCAGTACTACACGCTCCGGATAGACAGGAGCACCATAAGCATGCAGACACACAGACACACACACACACACACACACACACACACACACACACACACACACACACACAGCCGGGTGAAAGCAAGCTTTCGGCCAACACCTCCCAGCTAGGCAAGTACAAGTAGTACAATAGACTACGTACTGTGATGCAGTGGCCCATCCTTTAGATGCTTGCTCCTGCTGTTGCTGCTGCTGCAGTTGCTGTTGGCTTTGTTGCTGCTGTTGGCGCTGTGCCTAGGCAAGGCCAAGAAGACGAAAACATCACTTAGTACGCTGCCCGGCAAAAGGTACCTTTATTCTTTTCTGCATGATCACATACCCGAGAGGCTGAGGTTCGATGCGCACTGCACTTGCAATCAATATCATGTTAAGTACAGCATGAGCACGCAGTGGTCTGTGAAATCTAGCACATCTGACCAAGAGCTCCTCTCTGAGGACTAGACTGTGTGGTGAGTGCCATGTATAGGAAATGACCCTCGTAGCTCAATTTCATTGTGCACCACTGTAGTGGTAGACACACTGGGCTTAGCAGGTGACTATGGAAATGCCTACAAATCGGCCGGAATTTGGTGCATAGAAACCCAATTTACAATACAGGTGGAATCCTGATAATTCGAATATGGCTTACCGTATTTCCCCGATTTCCCGAAGTCGCACTCGATTATAAGTCGCACCCCCATGTTCAGGTTTGAGCAATATTGTTGCGATATATTCATTTCAGTAGTAAGTCATGCTCGATTGTAAGTCGCACCCCCTTTTTTACCCTGAATTTTAGTGTAAAAAGGTGCGACTTATAATCGGGGAAATACGGTAATTAGAACATACTGCTTAATTAGAAGTTTCTTCTGGGACCGATTTCTATCAATGCGATTTCCACATAACAATTTCTGATACTTAGAACCTCGAACTTGGTATGTCCGGTTAATTAGAAGTCGCACGGAATCCACTTACCCGGTACATAGAAAATATGTGGGATTTGTGCTGATAATTCGAAGTTGGCAAAACATTCACTATATTTTCATCAAATTAGTTTGGTTTGCATGCGCAGGCAGTTCAGTGTCCACTAAATTTGTGTCTAAGATGCGTAGTGCAACTCTACGTGTCAATGCGAGCATTTCGACATACATAATGTGTTGTTGGCACATGTTTGGATAATTAGAATGTCCGGATAATTCGAAGTTTTCCCTGGCATTTTGTGGTTCGAATTATCAGGATTCCACCTGTGACAGGAAATGAGAATCAACAAAAAAAATTTTAAAAAAGAGAAAAAGAAAATTTGGATGTGAGCAACTAAGGTATCTGGCATAGTCTACATTCAAAGGCACACAATGCATAGGCCCGCCAGAGGATAAGAGTGCTACAATCACTGTAGCGAGGTAAATGTGCCAGTATTGCTATTGCCATTGGCGAGCAATCCGGCGACTCTGTGACCTCGCAAGAAAAACTTTTTTTATTTTTTTTGTAGAAGGCTAGACTCGAACCCACAACCTCCCGTTTCTCAAACACAGAAACTACCGCACAACTACAGAAGAACTGATGAAAGACAAGAGGCAATTTCACTCATTGAACAATCTGAATGTTAGCACCCAGCCACAGCTTGCATTTCGAAACTGAACAGTTGATGCTGCGCCATGGCCCCCAACCCAATTATGAAGTCAACGAGGACAACACTTACTTGTTTCAGCTTCTCTTGCTCAGCTTGTTGTTGCTGGATGGCTGCAAGCGACAGGTTTGAAGAAGGAGAAGGTGCTGGTACTGGCTGTGCTCCCCAGCCGCCAGCGGCACTGGTTGGAGAAAGCTTTGGTGCAGTGGTCGCTGCAGGTGCAATCTGACGTTGTGCGGGTGATGGCGAGCGTCCACTGGGCCTGGTCGGTGTAGGACTGCTTGGGATCGGCACTGCAGCTGCAGCAGGAACCTGGCCCCAAGGTGATTCGGGCGATGCCGCCTTGGGCTGCTGTGGGCGCTGCTGATGCTGTAGACGTTGCAGGGCTTGTTGCTGCTGCTGTTTCTTGGAAGCCTTGGACTGTTGTTCTTCCTGCTGCTGCCTGCAATGGCGCAGGATAAAAGAAGAAACAGAAAACAGAAACGGCTAAATAAAGAGAACAGAGCAAGGAGACCGATTCGAATGTGCATGTAAAGATTTTGAGAGCCGACTGACCGTTGCAGATGGTTCTTCACGTATTCTTTGTCATGACTTAGAGCTTCTTGCGGATCAGAGCTACGAAATTAGAACAAGTTCCTAGCTTGCGTAGCTGATTGCAGCTGCTTTGTTTCACCTTTGAGAACTGGGGAGACCAGTCATGGCTAACCTGTACTTAGCAGCAGGAGACATCCGTCTAGCAAACTATTGTCCCATCATAATAAATCAGCTTCAAACGACCCACGTGCCCTTTGCTAGGTTACGACCAATCAGCTGCCTCGGAGAGCGGGCTTTGATATTCCATCAAAGCCCGCTGTCAGATGCAACCTGTACGAGAAAACCATCAAAGCCCGCTGCCATTGGCAACTGTACGACAAAACCATCAAAGCCCTGATCATGCCCAATCTTTTCAAGGTGATCTGGCTATAAGAACAAGAAACCGATAGGGGTGGTGGTCGGGGATGCGGTGGCTCTTAACTTGTAGAGTTGGAAATCTAGCTCCAGCACTGCAGAACTCTCAGCAGTATGCAGCGTGAGCAAGGTGTGTATGGTGGAAGTGAAAATACTTCCAAGACTCTTCAGCCACGTCTGGCTCTTGTCACGTAGTCCTGAGAAAATTCTCACGAAACAGGTTTTTCGTCCACTGACATGCCTTTTCCTTTGCTGTAATCTCTGTGTGAAACTTACGAGCGACATGCACTTCTTTAGACTTCAGGCTGCTCTGAAATCCCAAACGAAAGGCCGACATTGTCCACACTCAAGATCACCCAAAGAATAAAGCGATTGAATTCACAATCAAAAAAATTGTTGGGGATCGTCTGAAGCATATTCAAGCGAGGTACAGTCGGGCTTGATGACTGATCAAAGCCCTCGGGCTGGTCCCTTGGGCTTTGATCAGCCATCAAGCCCTCTGCACCTCGCTTGATTATCTACAGATTACTACTAGAAAAGTGCAGCGGACAGACACGCTCAGGTTTGATCGTATCCAGAAATTCGGTGTCTTGTCAGGAACGTGTGACGTCATCCAAACAAAAAGCACTATCAAGTGGTGCTCAGTACGGAAACTTACTTGACAAGTCTCTCTTCGTGAGCCTTTCGCAGCTTCTCTTGCTCTTTGCGCTTGCGCTCCTCCTCTTCCCTCTTCTTCGCAGCCTTCTCTTCCTCCTGCACCCGCAACAAACCAGCAGGATCTTCCTTCAGCAACCAAGATATCTCAAATGGAGCCTGATTAAAGAGGGACGGCTCCTGCAGCCTCGGCCATGACCAAACGTGTTGCTGGGTGGCTGATTCTACTGTCATGGACATGGAAAACCGGTCGGAGGTCAATTGGTCCCAGGGCGCTGGCCATGCAGCCGTGAGTACGCATACGATGATGCACTGCATGCAACGCTCTGGGCGCATTGATGGTGCCGACCGGATTTTCATGCCCACGACAGTAGTCGACGAAGAAAGTCCACGTGTAGCGAACACTGTGAGATAATGCAGTCCAGTGGTATTATGCTCAGTGAAGTAGAATACATACCAGGCGTTGCTGTTCCAGTCGTTGCTTCTCCTCCAGCTGCCGTTTCTTCTCCAACAGCTGCTGCTGCTCCATCAGTTTTCTCTTCTCTTCCTGTTCCTTCTGCTGACGCTCTGCCTCCTCCTCTTCTTGCTTCTTCTTTTCTAGAGCTTCTCGCACTTGCTGCTCGTGAAGCAGGCGTTGTTCTTCCTCCTGCTTCTGCTGAAGAGCCTTCGCATCCTGAGAACAAAGGAATCCAAGAAGAGGGATGAAAGACAAGAAAGAGGCGTTGGTTTTCTCAGACGTGCTCTCTTATGGGCCATTCACGCTACACCCAAAACGTGGCGTACGTGACGTTTTCGTCTGGATAGCCATGACAACATTTGAACGTGGCGGGAAAATCGTACCCCTGATACGAAAATGTAGACGACATATCCACACCCCTGTACCGAGTTTCGTTCTGTCCTTCTCAGCAGTGTGAGTCCAAAAGAAGCTGTACACACAGCGGTACGAGCAGCGTGTATGTGCCTGTGGGAATGCAGCTGCATGAAAACGACGTCTGCAAGTACGTCGTAATCCGAAACGTGATGCATATTCTAACGTAGTATGAATAGGCTATTACCAATGGCAGTCTGCACAGTCTCTGCCGGTAAAGGCCGATTTATACTTCATTTCGCGTACGGGAAACGTGTCGCGAAAAAGTTGATCCGAGCTCGACTATTTCGCGTACGGGAAAGTCATCGCGATGGCTTTCCCGTACGCGACATGAAGTATGAATCGGCCTTAAATGGTGACACAAGACAAAAAACATCACACATGGAACCGTAATCATGCACATCAGCAATGTGCTTGTCGTAGAAACAGACCTCGATCATGCTCTTATCATGCGGGTCACAATACGTTGAACAGGTGATATGCCCAGCAAACACACAACTAAATCTACTTGAAGCACAATCGGATTTCAAATCCACTGGAAGTGCACGATAGGGCTCGCAAGTACATAATGTGACCTGGACGAGTGGATTTATTCTGCTATATTTTGAAATACAAACTGGAAGAAACCGCACAAGCACCACACAGTAACGTTCGCCCTTTACCTGCTGCTGTTGCATCTGACTGTACTGCTGATTTCCAGCCATACTTACACCGGCATTGCCATCATCCCAGCCACTCATCTGTTGCTGTTGCTGTTGCTGGGGATCTTTGGGTTTGCTACCGACTGGCCAAGTGCCACCTTGTACTGCTTTTCAAACAGAGTACAAATAAAGAAGACACATGAAGTGAGTGAGAAAAAGAGAGAAAGTTACATTTATAAAGACAGGTAAGTCTTAACAAATGAGGACTGGGGTTCTCAACAACAGGGTTTTTATGCCTGAAAGCAGGTGCAGGATTCAACAAGCAGGTTGTCAGTCTAGATTTTATGCGCAGATGGAGATAAATGCGAAGAATTTTTGTAATGAGATGAAAGCAGAAATAATAAGAAAAGATTAAATGAAAGCCTGCCCACAACCCCGCCCAGCATGGCGAACTGGGAATGGTGGATTAAGAACCCGGCTTCAACGCTCGAGCAAGTGCTCTCCAATTAAGGTGCAGCAAATGATAGGAACTCATAGGGGATACGATAGAAAAGAAAAAAAGAAAATACGAGAATACAGTTCAATGCACCTCAATAAACGAAGCCCCATATACAGTACCTCAGAAAAGTGGATCTTCTGACCAGTGGTTTTGTTGACTTTGCAGCCAGATGATGGAGAGAGAGAGAGAGAGAGAGAGAGAGAGAGAGAGAGAGAGAGAGAGAGAGAGAGAGAGAGAGAGAGAGAGAGAGAGAGAGAGAGAGAGAGAGAGACGAGAGAAAGAGAGAGAGAGAGAGAGAGAAAACGAGAGAGAGAGAGAGAGAGAGAGAGAGAGAGAGAGAGAGAGAGAGAGAGAGAGAGAGAGAGAGAGAGAGAGAGAGAGAGAGAGAGAGAGAGAGAGAGAGAGAGAGAGAGAGAGAGCTGGCCGATCAGAATCACTACAGTGATAGAGGGAAACCCTTCAGAGCTCCGTCACAAGCACTACGACTACAGGTCACCGTCATGGCATAAAGCAGAGAGGTCAAGGCGTTAAGGCTTACATGGAGACGAGGAACCAGCCAGCATAGTCCACACAGATTCTGATGAAGCAGCTGCGCCAGATGCTGCCGGGATTGCCTGTTACACATGGCAATAAAAGCAGCAGAGCACACGTTCAAGCGATCGAGATACTGAGCAAACGCGCCACTGACATGAAAACCCCAAAGCTCAAAGCTCTTCTCACAGAAAGGGACCGGTCTGGAACGACCACCAGCAAGAACTGAACCTATGGAAATGACAACAAGAACAGTGCGCTAAGCGCGAGTGTAGCATTTCACTCAGCACACAGAGTACACATACCTGAGGAGCTGACGGATGCTGTGAAGACCAGTTTGAGGAGGTCTACAGGTACATGTAGGCACACCAGCCAAAATACCATATCAGACACTGGCCAAGGCTAGCCAAAACACACTTAGATGCATGGGGAACTAATACATATTAACACAAGATATGACGAAGCCAGTTGTAAATCCGATGACGCCTTTCGTGCCGTTACTTCCCAAATCGGTACACGGTAAAACTAAAAATGTGATGAAGAACTACAACAAGGATTTATACATATTTCCGTAGGTGGTGTGTACTGGCTGGAGAATGATGGTGCAAGTAGTTGCGCCAAACATCAGAGCGGCAGAAATATCACAAGGAGGTGGGAAGTCAAAAGTCTCTCAAAATAGCACCAGCTGGCTCACAAACTCCTCTCGTGCACATAGTTCAGGCAACAATCAGACAATGGTAAGAGTTTCTAGCACGCAAAGTGCAGTGAAATGTCTGTGCATAGTGCACTGAGGCAAGCAGGACACACGAAATTTCATCGCGCTTCATGATTCACGACGCATGGGCACATGCCAAAGGTTACCTATAGTATGTGCTAGAGGCTGTCTTCATTGCCAGATGATCACCTGAGCTATGTGGACAAGGGGAGCTGGTGGGCAAGCTGGTGCTATTTCGATTTCCCACTTTTTCGTGATAGTTATAGAGCTATCATGTTAAGCGTAACTTGCACCTTCATTATCCAGCCAGTGTTCTTTTCATCACCACTTCACCACCTACAAAGATGTGTAAATCAACGTTGTTGTGCTTCATCACATTGCTATTACATGCCTGTACTAATTTGAAGTAATTTGAAGCAGCGGTACGATTTACAACTGGCTACACCGTGACCGGTGGAAATACGACGGAGTATAAACCGGAAACCCAGAAACCAGTGGGCATGCAACACTACCGTGAGGTTTGCAGCTACTCCACGAAAGTGCTTTTGAGTCAACTCGCAAACATTCCCAGGTGCTTGCAAACCATGCACTAAAACTAGCGTAGGATACCCCGGTTAACAGTAGACACAACCGGGCAACAAGCCCCGAGTCACGGGAAATCAGTCTCACAAGGACAAAGCAAGGAAACGAAAACAGAGTCAAGAAAAATCGCCAGTGTACATGTCATGAGCAGTCACCAAGAGTGTATGTGAGCATGCACCAGCATGAACCGAAGTCCCATATCGATGGCTGCATTGTACAGTATGGCGCGCAGCACCAGGGTACTCTGAATTCGTGTTCATACGCCCCCGACTTACCACTTGCAAAGGCATCATTTGTGGGCCGGGCATGAACGGCACACGGCCCCATTGCTTCAGCATGTCACCTGCACACAGTAATACAAAACAAGAGAAGCAATTGTTCACTACTGGAGATAGCACCACTTTCCGCATTGAAGTGTTCTGGCTTCGGAACAAACTGAACAAGCTTTCTGCTGATGCAGAAGAGTGCTGCCTGGACCTATCATGTCATTTCACTTTTGACATTGAAAATTGTCCGACATACTAACGACTCGTAACACCATTGGATATAGTGAAACGAGATAGCGGTACGCGATTGTAATGTTGCGGTTTGGAACCGCCAAATGGCAGGTCGGTATACCCTGCCACCTGGAGCTGAAACCGCCATGGCCAGTACAGTGGTCCCTCTATAATCTGGCACCATTTGTGCTAAGGAAATTCTGCTGGATTAGGGAGGGTGCTGGATTAACAAATCTGATTTTCTGCTGCAGTGTCATGAGTCGACGAGGACCTTTTGGTTACTAGTTTAAAGAGGGTGCTGGTTTATAAAGTGCCGGATTAAAGAGGGACGACTGTAATACCACCCATTCTGTTTCGCACAGCAGCACGGGGAAAATGGCCAGACAGTGTGCGTAACAACAATGGTACGGTCCCCCATACAGAAACTAAAGAAGCTACACAGCCAAGTCATTCCCGAGGACAGCATGTACTTGATTACTCACCAAGAGGCGTGAATATCTGGTCGCAGGTCCGCCGCACAAGCAGATTCATCGTGAAGTAGCCCGCACTGAACCAATCCTGCATGTCCGTACTGGAGAACGGTCCTACACACGGATGACACAGAGCCAGCAATATGCTACATGTTTATGCAACCGAAGCATGAGACAGAATCCACATACGCCACCACACAGCACGAATGTGAGACGACAAGAGCAGCAGGAGTATACAGAGCACAAAGGAACGACATGATGTCATAACCCCCCAGAAGAAGACAAGGGGACCAGCCGATCAAGAACACAAACAACACTGACCCTGGACAAGTCCTTGTGGATCACGGTAGAGCCACTCGATTTCCGACAGCTGTGGTGGAACGGCGGCTGCCGGCGCTCCCATGTTGGACTGCTGGGGTGGCTGCTGCTGCTGCTGATGTTGCTGTGGGTGTTGCTGCTGCTGCGATGGTGGCTGGGCATGTTGCATTCCTGCGCCGGTGTCCCAAGAGGACTGCCGGACAGCCTCGGGTGGACCGCTGAAATAGCTGGGGTTCTTGCCGGCACCAAAGCCGCTCGAGTCGTCCTCATCCTGAGAGACCAATTGCATGTACATATGCATGGCAAGAGACACTCTGATGTGGTTACACCAGCAAAGATACGGTTGAACACATAAAGAGCCGAGCAACCCAGAGCCTGAAAGAAGCGAATTTGCCAGTGCAGCACTGCTGTCAATGAACCCTACACACGCCTTGCTTCATCCTAACACAACAGGTTGTTCAGCAGTGTCCAATGGCAAAACCGGACACAACAAGCTCAGGGTTACTAGCTGCGACCCCCCTCAACCGTAGCACACAAGAGGGGAATATGCGAAATTGATTAGTAATTAGCCAGGTACATCAAGAGCCACCATACAGAAGCCTACTACCGCAGACTCACCACGACAAACGGCGCCACCATATTTTCTGCCCTCTATAACATACACGGAGCACAGAGGAAACGTGTGGTACTCAATCACCATGCAAAGATAAACGCTAGCTGCAAACAACATCAGTTCTATCTAACAATGGCCCAGAGCTAAAGAACTACATCATGACTAACCTGTTGGAATTGCTGCGAGAACTCGCTTTCCCGGTCGCCAGAGTCTGGCTGCTGGGGCTGCTGCATGCCCAGCGCAGAATACAGGCTCTGTGGCCGAGCATCGTGTTGCTGCTGTTGTTGTTGTACATGCTGCTGCTGCTGGTGGTGCTGCTGCTGCTGTGGCATTAGCGCTTGCTGTTGCTGAGAGGGGTCGCGTGCACCGCCGAGACCCATGTTGCCCAAGGCGGACAGAATATCGCCACCCGCCGCACTAGAGCCATGTCCCATTAGAGATGAAAGTCCTCCTGAACAAAGACGCAAAGATACATCACACTAGGGCTCAAACGGTTAGTCCGATTAACCGGTAGAATTAACGGCTAACCGATAAAGATAACGGTTACGCAGCAACTTTTCAAGTCAATTTTTCAAGTATCAGGTCGTTGCAACGTATGCACTTTCTGGGCTGTCGCACGCGTACGCAATTTCTGGGCTGTCAACTCGGTCATATCTGGTCTCTTGGTGTGAGAGTATGTGTGAATGAGCATGCAAGAGAATGTGTGCGTTGTACTGAATAGGATACATTTTTCTGAATGAGTATAGTCAAATATACGGTTAAAAAAGAGTCCGCAGGATTGCCGTGGCTTATAGGTCATAACCATTAAACCGACCGTTAGCCTAGCATTTAACCCTTTACCGTTTTAGGTATTTGTACAGCAAAAACCGACCGTCATTGTTCATGCCGTAACTTTTTTATTTTTCACTTTTATTATGTACAAAATGGGGTGATTCTGAAAGTAAAAACCCTCAGGAATGCGATGCAACAACTTTCAAGTCCAGAAAACGAACACAGATTTCACTATTTAGCACTAATATTTATTTGGATTTATTGCCGATCGGGCAAACTGTTGCAATATGCAATAAATCAGATCCTTGCACTGGAGTGGCTCCCTCAGGTAAGTGGATACCAGGTTCATTCTCTGGGTGGAATGCAGGAGTGTTACCAGTCACAGCTTAGTCAGCATTGTCCCAAGTATTGCAAATATCGACTAGTGCAGGTTGCACCGCTGGCTGTCCATAGTACCTGTGCACCACGACCTCTACCGTGACGACGGCCTATTCCACGGCCGAATCCTCTCTCTCTGCCACGTCCCCTTCCACCATTAGTGGCACTCATCTCAGCGACACTGCCGTCAGCTGTGACATCCATGTCACTCTCACTGGCGCTGCTTTCACTCGCCATGTCATCGTCGCGGTCGTCGTCAGAATAAATATTTTCAACAGGATTGTCTGGCTCCACAAACTCATCTTCGCTGGATGAGGCAGCGACAGAGTCGTCAGGAAGGGTCTCCAGAAGCGAAAGAGCTTGCTCCGCGTCCATGGCTTGCACAGCAGGGCAGACAGTCGTGAGGCCAGCTCAAGCAAAAGTCGAAATAATCTTCAGGCAATACCAAAAGTCGCAGGGTACGCACTTTTCCCAAAGCGCAGTTTTCAAGTCGCGATTTTCGCGATTTTTTATATTGCATCACACAAAAAAATTGTCGGCACCCTCTGCGCGTACATCTTGGCTACCAGTAGGGAAAATCCCAGCTCTCTGCGGTGAACCAGTCCAGCGGTGTGCGCATAGAAGTCATCGACCGCGAGCGGTCGAAATTTGTACATACAAACGGTAAAGGGTTAACCGTCAGGGGTAAAACCGTGACCGTTTGAGCCCTACATCACACCAATTCAAAACAAAAGACTTTCGGCCGTCCTCTCCTCGGCCACTACAACATGGTGCAAAAGTGACTTGTCCACCACAAACCCTATAAACAGTTAACACATGTGTTCATGTGTTGACCCCACACTCACGTACAGGTAGGTGTACAGGTACAACCTCGCGAACAACGACCCCGGGTATAACAACAACTCATGAATAAAAAACCCGGGTATAACAACAACTCATGAATAAAAAACCCGGGTATAACAACAACTCGTGAATACTGTAAATCAACAAATTTTCGCTGGCGATTTAATTTCGCTGATTTCGCCAGTCGATGTCAATCGGCCAAAATTAATCGCCGGCCAAAATTTGTCACCAGAACCAAAATGTCAGTTTGGGTCACTCTTATAATCACAGGATTATTTCGATTTTGCCGCAGTCTGACCAGGCCCTTAGCAGACCGCTCCAAAAACGAAATAATCCTGTGATTATAATCCGAATCTCCATAGTAACTTGCCGCCAGGGCGGCAAAATCGAGAGTTCACGCTCCAAAAAAAAAGCAAGAACGGACCATGCTGAGTTTGACGCTGATACGCCATTGACGCTGATATTCACTGATTTTTTCATCTCGATATCGAGGAGCTAATTGGCCACGGACAACAACAAAACTCATAAGGATGGTTGCAAGGATTGCACTGAAGGTGTTGGAGATCCCCAAGGTGAAGGATTTTGACGTCGTTCGTGGAGATTACCACTTGACGCTCGAAATGAAGTTTGAATTTTCATTCTCCCCACATGTGTAGTGTGATCGCGATTCAAATTCTTGACGCTTTTCTTTTTTCGTCAGGCACCAGAAATTTGCCGCAGTCTGACCAGGCCCTTATGCCACCGGACTCTCTGTAACAAATGCGTACAGTAGACGGGTCTACAAACTACGCGGACCTTTGTACTACTATACTACTATGTTTTTCTATTTTGACAGCATGTTACAAGGCGACTACTAGTAGTACATGCGCACACGAAACATTGATCGCTTTTTGGACTCTTACACGCCCATGCGCAAAGTTTAGTGGCGGCGAAAAGTGTTTTCTGGAGATCGGCGAAAGTTTTTCACCGGCGAAAATTTGTTGATTTACAGTACAACAAAAACTCGTGAATAACGCCCCCAGATATAACAACCCCGTGTATAACAACAACTCGCGAATAACGACACATTCTTACATGACACGTGATCGTTGCCGGGGCCATGGCCAATAGGCGATATTCAGGCCGCGGGCATAATCAGGCCATCAGGACCGTTTGACGTCATTTCGGGAGTTTCAGGACCGTTCGATGTCATTTCGGAAGTTTCAGGACCGTTTGACGTCATTTCGGGAATAATTTTTCGACCTTTCACCTTCCCTAATATGTTGCTTCGCGCTGTAAGAAATCAAAACAAGCCCGCTCTGTCTTTCATGATGGCTGAATCTTGCCCTTGGCTGCTGGCAAGATTCAGCCATCATGACCTCCTGGGCGTGCTTGATTACATACATCTTCAGACCTTGTGACCATTTGACTGCATACGTTCAACCTCGCGAATAACTATAACTCACAAATAAAGACACGTAGGGGCCATCCGTAAATACCGATTTCTATTACCCTTTCAGGGCTTATGACGAGTTATCTCGCTCTGTAAAGTGTGCCTAAACGGCGGATGACGAGATATCTCGCTCTGTAAAGTGTATCTGAACGGCGGATGACGAGATATCTCGCTCCACGGTCCACGCAATAGTATGAAGTGCATATATCACTGTACAAACTGTCGTAACTCATGTCAACGAAGACCGATTTTCACAAACGATATACCGTTGGAAAGGTATAGAGCTCAGCTTTCCAGTGATATAAAGTTTTTTGCGATAAGACTAGATTTGAGTGAGCGATGACGAATAGAATTGCAACAAAATCAAAAATACGCTTTCCGGCCATCAGTTCAAACTTTTTGCTCGCGACTCGCTTTTTTTAGGGGATTTCCCTTTGCTACAGCGCATGCGTGTTGGGCATCAAACAAAGCGCTTGAATCTCAGCTTTGCAGCGCAGTTTGAATCGTGAAGCTTGGTTTAGTTTGAAAGAGATGGCAGACGAAAATGTATTATGAAGTTGTTTAGCGATTCTGAGACATGTAACGGCTTCTTCTAGAGCACATAGCAGTGATGCTGGCATGCCTTTGGAGCTGAGAATTGCCAGAGAGCCTTCGCTTGGCTCTGGGCTTTCCAACAAGCCATAGATCGTGGAAGTCCACGCATAAATGCAAGCATGGCAAGAGATTTTGCTCGGCGATGCGCATACAGGGTCTGAAATGAAAGCAAGCGCGCTGAAAGCTTAGCCGGCAGGGGGAAACTAGGCCATCAGTGAAAGGGTTAACACCCCTCCCTGAAAAACACATACAAACGGTACATAGAATCGATACATTTTTCTTTTTTTCTGGACGTGCCCACACATACAAACTGTGCGTTGATATTTTTCAAGAAACAAACAGGCGCTCAACCCCCTCCCCCTAAACGACTAGTTTTCGTTTCTAAATAAATATCTATATTTACGGATGGCCCCTTACCTCATGCACGATCGATGGTCGTTATTAGCAAGGCTGACTGTAAGCAGCATGTTCGAATAAAGATATATTCGAACCACTGTCGTGGGACATGGAAATCTGGTCAGACATCAAGCGGCCCAGGGCGCTGGCCATGCAGCCATGAGTACGAATGCGATCGACATGTGCACTGCACGCAACGTTCTGTACGCACTGAGGGCGCCGGCCCAGCGTCATTCGACCGGATTTCCATGTCCACGACAGCACCAGGATTTCGCCTGTGTCCCTATTACGTACCCATGCCGCCAGCAGCAGGTGAGTTGGACATAGCAAAGTCGTGCTGCGTGCGCGGTGCAGATGTGCTCAACATGCTGCTGCTCGTCTGGCCTGTACTGCTGATTATTGCTGGATCTACAAACAGAGAGACGTACATACAGACACATACACACACACACATGCATACACACACATGTACAGAAGATCCACAACATAGAAAGCATGGAGGTTAGCCCACAGTCTGATTTGCTGTCAGATCCGCAACAAAAACAGACCAAACGCGCTCTGTACACGTGCATGTGCACATGCATGTGCTTGTTTGTATGCATGCGCATGTGTACATGAATGTGCCCGTGAGTGTGTGCGTGTACGAGGGCTCATGCATGTACCAAAAGCGGCCAAAAACAGAATGTGTACAGGCCCCTTGCCGCCCACTACTTTATACCGCTGGAGATACTCCAGGAGATGCTGCCATGCAGGTCGATTCTCAACTAACGATGACAATAGCGTGACCAGTCCTGCCAAGGAACAATCAGTTCAGACTACATGTACAGCAAAGAAGAGGCTAGCTCCACTTGCAGCACAACACCACAACACTTACCGTAAGACTGCAGTGCATCGGCTGGATACGCTGCTGGCCCCTACAACACACAAGAACAGAGACAGTGAAGACAGCACCTGGTACATGCAGTGAAGCCACCAGACAATTCATACTCAGAGCAATTGAAAATACTGTAAGAGTTGAATCTCTAACGGGGCGCAAAGTCTAACGTTTCAACGAGAAAAAAATCCATTGTTGAATCAAGAAACGTTACATGTATGCTATTCCTTCTGTCCTCTGTACTAGAGAAACAGAAGACAGGTGTTTGGTGGCAGGGTCGTTAAACTTTGTGCAAATCGTTAAACTTAAAGACTCGTCACACGTTCACACTATTCAACTCTCACAGTAATGCAATATTCCACACAATTGCCCCATAGGTTTGCACAAGTAATTCGAGGATATGCAATGGTCCTTATGCACATTACATCACCTCGTACAGATGTACGAATTCTCGTACGTGTGTACGTGCGAGGTTGGGTGTTTATTGTGTGCTATACATGAGCATTCAGCTCAATACTTAGTGGCAGACAGTCGCTTTTCCAGCTTCATCAGTTCGGATGGAACAAATGACTAGCTAGATCTTCGTCCAAGAAAAGTTGTTGCATGAAATGCTTGAAGGGAACGTTTCGTAATCGAAAATACAGATAGCACAATCGGGTCCTGTACATTCAACACCCAACTGGGTCTACGGGATTTCGAACGTGATGTCAGTGTGCATAATAAAGGGTTGTACACATCACATAGTACATTTGCCACTCAAAGTTATTCTATACCGTATTATCTCTAATATAAGCACGGTCCTTTATTGGAGACTGTTCCATTATTATTTCAACCTCATTTCAGAGGCATGTTGCCATGCCAAATTCATGTCAGACACACACGCATTTCAGGGGTTTTTCGCCGGTACAGATCATATTTACACAGTGTGCTTTTAACGAGGACTGAGCACTTTATTCTTTGAACGCTGTCCCAAGGTGTTCTAATATTGGAGACGTGCTATTATTGGAGACTGTGCTTATATTAGAGATAATACGGTAGGCGGATTTGACGTCATTGCATATCCTCCAAGAAGAAATGGGAAACTCATCAGAAAGCCACGCACTCAGCCTGCTGAGCAGAGCATAGGACAGGAAACTCACCATTCCACTGGTCGCATTGCCCGACCCTCCGAACTGCAGTTGTTGACGAGGCCATGCACCCTGGGCTTGCTGCTGCTGTTGAGCTGATTGGTGATGTGGCTGCTGCTGCTGTTGTTGCTGCTGCAGCTGCTGCTGCTGCATTGTTGACTGGCCCCAGGGCGACTGATGCAAGTGGTTGCCTTGGAGAAGAGATTGCAGGTTGGCCACACCGGCTTGCATCTGTGCCTGATGTTGTTCTGAGAACTGAACATCAGGCTGCATCTGCGCCTGCATGGGTGCTACCTGCTGCTGCTGCTGCTGCTGCGGTGGCTGCTGTGGATGCTGTTGATTTTGCAAGGTTTGTCTGCTGTGGGGCTGCGGTTGGTGAGCGGCTGGTTGGACTGTCGCTGTTTGAGGTGCAGCGGTTGTAGGCTGCTGCTGCTGCTGCACACCAGACTGAGGACGACGAGGAGTGCGCTGAAAAGACTGCTGCTGCTGATCTTGCCCTGGTGGTATGTCGGACGCTTGCGAGTGCTCTGGTTGGTGCTGCACTTGCGACTGAGCATCGGCTAGTTGCTGTTGGTGTTGCCGCTGTTGAGTCTGCTGTGAGGTAGGAGCAGAAGGCTGATCGGTTGGATTGCGAGAGGATTGACCGGTTGACGCGTTTTCATCCGCCGCTTGACGAGATTGCGCTGACGGCAAGCCGCGGGTTTCCGAACTTCTCCGTAGCGAGTCGGCACCCCACTGATCGCCCCAGCCTCTCGGTGACTTGAGCGGTGAGCCCAGGCCCTCCTCCGGCCGGTGCGTCTTTGTAGGACTAGTCAATGGCTGGTATTGACTGCTGCCAGGCGTTGTCCGCCAGCTGGATGTGGTGGTCTCGTTGCCGTCCCGCGGACCAGTTCGCCAGTTGTTATCACGAGTGGAACGGCCACCTTCGAGCAGCGTTGCGGGTCGTGTTGGGCCTTTGTCGTCCTCGTCTGCACACGACACAGATATCCGATAAACAAATGCCATTGAAAATTTGAAATGAATGTAATCCCATTGACTTACACACACATCACTATTCCAGGATCTTTGCACATGGAAAGCCAAGAAAAGTCCGAAGGAGAAGACAAGAAGTACACAATCACACAACAACTTTCTTGAGATCTGTATCAGGTGAATAGTGGAGATTCACAAAATGGCATGATGCTGGATTTCACCAGGAGCACGTATAGATATTTTTTTAATACATGAGGTAAGGGGTCGTCCATAATTATCGAACTTTTTTCACAAAACGAAATAATTCCGTTATGGGGTGGGAGGGGGTTGACCAATTTCGTTTCAGAAAACATTGATTCATGTACATGTCCGTTGTATATGCAGGTATGTCAACATTTTTTACGTTCTGAGGGGGAGGGAGGGAGGGGTTGGGTCTAAACTAAAATAATTCGTTTGGTGAAAAAAGTTCGATATTTACGGACGGCCCCTAAGTGACTACCGGTGCGATTGAGCCAGTTGTTTCTGGCTGAGCTTGATACATGACCACAGCATACCACCAGGAAAGTGCAATTTCGGTAGATACCGAGGTACTTCGTGCAGCTGTTTTGCTCATATAAAAATCTCGTAAGGGAAGACCCGATCGCAATTTCGTCCAGGCGGTGTGACTGACTACTCTTCTTCTTTCTTTCGTATCTGGCTTGCAACTGTCGAGTTTCGAGTCAAAAAAAGCACCAGGCAGGTGGCCTAATTTCCTATTACAGCAAAGATCCAATATTGATATACAGTCGTCCCTCTCTAATCCGGCACCTTTTGCAACGGCATTTTCTGCTGGATAAACAAGGGTGCTGGATTATCAAATCCTGTCCTCCAACACGGCCCACCTGTTAACATACATGTTGGTGTCGTACGTCAAAATGTAGGGATTTTCTGTGCCAATCCAAGTACTTTGCGGAATGCATGTCTATAACATACACTTGGGAATACCCTGTGCACTGGCATAGGATACTCCCAAGTGTACGTTACATGTGTTGTGTATGTTACAATGCTCCCTGACGGTATGCGATGTACAACTGCTGGATTAGAAAATCAAATTATGTACAGTTTGAGTGATTTGTTGCAGAAAATCACTGCTGGAGGCGGAATTCAAGTGCCGGATTAAAGCGTAGAAAATGAACTGAAAAAATCGGTTTTGCCAGAAAGTGTGCTGGTTTGCAAGGGTGCTGGATAAACAAGTGCCGGATTAGAGAGGGACGACTGTACATGCACATGACATGTGTACACCTTTCTCGATCATCAGCATCAGAAAACCTACCTGTCCGAAACTCTGAGTGAGAATGCGCCCTGCAGTTGATGAAAATACAAATGAAATGACATGAGAACAAGGGAGAGAGAGAGAGAGAGGGGGGGGGGGGGGGGGGGCTGTGACAAGAAACGGGTCTGCAGCACAAACAAAACCGTTGCCTGTGAAACCTTCCTGCAAACGTTTCCCAGTAGACAAGAACATGTTGTCACTTGATTCACAATCTGGTCAAAAGAGAACATATCAACACACAATAGACCCAATAGGCCTGATACGTATCTACAGGCTTTCCTACATCAGAAAACCACGTGGAAAGTCGATTCTAAGCAGAATGCCTTACCTGTCATAATTCCGATCATACGGACGATCGCTGCTGAACCCGCCTCGCTCAGATTTGCCACCATCAGGCGCACCACCGCCACCACGACCACGGTCACTACTTCGGTCGAACGCCTGCTCTTTTCCATGCTCCGCCTCACGGAATCGATCAGGCGTCCGGTCAATATTCCAACCTGGCCGCGAATAACTCTTGCCACTGCTACCTTCTCCCCCACCGAAGTCATCGTCAGTACCACCCAGACGATCACCTTCGCCCCGCCGCATTTCAAAGCCACGCCCATCACCTTTTCGAATTGGACCTGCTGGCCTGTCCCGATTGGTGTACCCCCGACCACCAAACTCGTCATCGCGATCCCGATCTGCTTCATCATGTCGACCATAACTTCCCACTCGACCTGTAACACCACAACAAACCACAGAGAGAGAGAGAGAGAGAGAGAGAGAGAGAGAGAGAGAGAGAGAGAGAGAGCGAGAGAGCGAGAGAGCGAGAGAGCGAGAGAGCGAGAGAGCGAGAGAGCGAGAGAGAGAGAGAGAGAGAGAGAGAGAGAGAGAGAGAGAGAGAGAGAGAGAGAGAGAGAGAGAGAGAGAGAGAGAGAGAGAGAGAGAGAGAGAGAGAGAGAGAGAGAGAGACAGAGAGAGAGACAGAGAGAGAGACACACACACAGAGAGACAAAGAGACACAGAGAGAGAATAAAGGTGAAAGTGAAGATAAGCAATAGGTGTAGGTGCGCGTGGAAGTATTTAACTCAGTGGAGACTCTCTTACGGACTCGAAAGGGTTCCAAACAGGCACATGTCCAACTGGGTGACACCTCACGCCAGCGTAGCACACTTCATAGGCGTACACGACGTGCACCAGGCCAACAAAGAAGCAACAAAGGAACATGCTGCTTTTCACCAGGAGCAAGTACGCCACTACACTGTACAATCATGTACCTAGTCTCCAAGCTTACCTCCACGACCACCACCGCGACTGCCGCCGCGGCCACCGCGAACAGAACTGACCGGCGGAGGGCCACTAGTGCTGCCACCCCGGTTCATGCGAATGGCCACCTCGCTGTTGACTGTTGCTCCGATTAGTTTCTGCAAAACAGAAGTAACAAAACGAACACAACATGTAGCATTCCTGGCCGTAAGCGGGGTGCCTGGTTCCAGTCCTAGTGGCCACAGTCAATATTTTTCCTTCAGACTTTTCAACTCCCTCGAACTTATGAACAAAACACACTACTGTACTGTAGGCTACACATTTCACATTTCAGTTCCAAAAGTATATCTTTAATCTACGAACTTCCAAGGCAGCAAGAAGCAAATACAAAGAACTTGCAGATCAGTGGCACGAGTACACTGCGCCGCCCCAGAAGCGAGAAAGGGCTAAGGAAAGGAAAGGCATTGCTTTACACTCAAAACTAAAGAGCCAGGCAGCACCAGCTCTGATGCAGTCTGCAATGAACTATGGCAACACTCACCAATTGGACACTGGCATACATGCAGGCCAGAAAGGAGCATCGCCTGAGCACATGGTTCCAGGCTACCCAACAAGTGAGCGCGGCCCACGACAATAAATACCTCTGATTACACAGGGACACCGGAACGTATTCGACCTTGGTGCGGCTATGAAGAGGCGGGGGGGGGGGGGGGGGGGGAAGGGGAGTCCCCAGAAAAATTTGGAAAATTGGGCCCACATAGACCTCAGCAGGGGTGCTGGAATGTGTTCCACCTTAGTGCGGCAATGAAGAGGCCGGGGGGAGTCGGACAAATTAGAAAATTTGGGCCCAAATAGCCCATATTCAATTGCTTCAAAATTCTCAAGATGAAATTATTAAAGTGCGTCTTTGGCCGCATACCGCACCGGTTCCGACGCCCCTGTTACATCTGTGTCCAATACTCTGCCGTGACGACAAACTATTTCTTCGAAGTACTGTAAAAGCCATACCGTGTGTCAGCGCCTTTAAAGGGGAAGTTAAGGCAAAAATCAAAATTTCACCAGTTGTAGTCTTCGGGGTGCTGAGTCGAATGGTCTTGGTCCGAGAAAGCTGAGACGCTCCCTTCCTACTTGAATCCCAATCGAACTCGCGCACTTCCACCGAAACTGGGTGACTGCGCCCTACTAGATGGCCCATATGTTGTAGTCTTTTGGACGCTGAGTCGACTGGTTTTGGTCCGAAAAGGCTGCGATGCAGCGTTCCTTCTTTATTCCCAATCGAACATGGTTGAACAAGCAGTCACGTGCTCCTGGGTGCCCAAATCACCTGGTCACCACGCCAGCAGGCGACAACTTTCACACCAAGGTTCAACTCGAGTTCAACTCCAGTGACAGGACTGCACCCAAAAAAGGCTAGTAAGTTGTACCCTGCAGGCACGGTGACCAGGTGACTGGTGTACGCAGGAGCACCAAAACCAGTCGACTCCGCGTCCAAAAGAGTACAACAAGGGCCAATCGCGGTCATCCGTGCTTTTATAAGAACGAAACGGCGCTTTTAGTGACATTTTACATACAAATCCCCATCTAGTAGGGTGCAGTCACCCAGTTTTGGTGGAAGTGCGCGAATTCGATTGGGAATTAAGTAGGAAGGGAGCGTCTCAGCTTCCTCGGACCACGACCATTCGACTCAGCACCCCGAACACCCCAACTGGTGAAATTTTGATTTTTGCCTTAACTTCCCCTTTAAAGTCATGGCCTTATATTCGGAAAACCGCTGCTTTTCTAGATATTTTAGATGCAAAATGACTCACCCACTACGCCATGCCATAAAAGTCAGTCCACACAGAAATTTCAATCTAAATCCACTTGTACACCCTTCCTGCTGGGCTGTAAGTTTGTTAGTATAGTACTTATTCCTTCATTTTTACAAAACACACTTCAAATGTCATTTCATTTACGAAGCCCATGGCTTTATAACTGAGACTGGCTTTATAATCGAATATACCGCCATGGCTTTAAAGGTGCGGACATACGGTATATATAACGAAGTGCTAACTTTAACGAGTTAACGAGGAGAAATCTGTCGTTAAAATAGAAATCGTTACACAGAATCGATACATATACTGTCCTATTGAGCATTAAGAATGAGTGAGAATCGTTACCTTTGGACTTTGGTACACGTAAACTAGTCAATTTCGGGAAATCGTTATATATGCGCCTCGTTAGAATAATGGCTTTTACAGTATAGTACCACACTCCGAACTGAAATGACCTGGCTCATATCATAGGTCATGTTTTTTACACAGGCATCAACACGAACGATTCATTATTGCAAGATTGAACTCGGATGGTGAGCCTATTTAATTATGATTAAAAAAAAGGAGAAGGACAAAATGTTACGAGTTCTGACAAACTGTCAACCAACGTAACCACATCTTATACAGTCAGCGAATGCGACAAAATGGCACAAAACTTACAAGGAGTACTCAGACATTCCGTGACCTGACACCTAGCTCCAACACTTCTCCAAGCGTTGCCGTGGGGCGTAGCTCGTGCTCTTCTTCTTTCCGCTTTCCTTCCCCTCTTGGACCTTTCCGAACCTGAGCCTTCCAAGTTAGAAGGTTGTTGGTTTGCGCCTTGGAGAAGTGTTGGAGCTAGGTGTCAGGTCGCCGAATGTCTCAGTCTGTCCCTCCAGGAAATCGCCATTCCACGGACGCAACAAATTCACGATTTTGGCCCAAACAAGCGATTTTCTGAAAAATCCGCGATTTCCGCGTTTTTTTGTTGTTTTCTGCACTTCTTTTTACATTTTTCTGCACTTTTCACGCAGTATACAGTGCTTTCCATGATCCTGTACGTAGGTTATTTCCACAGTACGCAAATAGCGATTCTAAGGATACAACAAATTTCGTGATTTGGCCCAAATCCGCAATTTTCTGCCAATAATTCCGCGAGTTCCTGGCAAGTTCCGCACTTTTCGCCGCATTTTTTGTTGTTTTCTGTCGCAATTTCTTGCGCAAGTTTTCGAGGATTTTTTCCGCAAATTCCCGCAGGGACAGCTCAGTACTCCTCGTCAGTTTTGTGCCATTGTGTCGCACTCGCTGACTGTATAAGATCTGGTTACGTTGGTGGACAGTTTGTCAGAACTGGTAACATTTTGTCATTCTCCTTTTTTATTATTGCAAGAGTTCAAATTTAATGTTCATGAATGTACAGGATTTAAATAAATGACAAGTTTTCGCACAGGACAATTTGTGATTGCTGGGCACTACCAAGTATGACCCAACTAACTTGCTCATGGCTTGCATGCATGGATTGCTGCTTTGTTCAGAAACTGGAAAACACAAGGCACATTACAGGACCTCTGAGACGCCGTTTTGCTTGAGTAAGTCCATTCACACTGAATGGCGAAACTTACCTGTTCTTCCTCGGTGACAGCAGTGAGGTTGATGGGATCGATTGGTTTGTCTCTGAATAAGCTGGAGAACTCGACGGCCTCGGGAGGCTGCGCAGCTTGGATGGAGTGCAGCGCAAGCATCTCCTCTTTGCCATACCGCTGTTCAGCCAGTATGGGCCTCGATAACACTGGCGGCTGCTGGGCTTGGCCAAGACCCTGACCAGCTCCACCAGACATTGGGCTCTGGGCATTGGGGCCATTGCCGGCATTGGAAAGGTCGCGGATCCTTTTCACACACCAAGCGCACCAGTGCAGAGAACACAGACGACCACATGCTCATGAAAATCATACGATTCGTTTTTGATGGCTTTCAATCGAACACAATGCCCTATGAAGTATATCGTATTTGAATTATTCCATAATGTGAAACCGAAAAATTGTGTCCGCGCTGCAGTAAACTTACCACTGAGGACCGAACATCACATCAGTAGACATGATGAAACCTAACAGAAGCTCTTCAGAACACCTTCGTCAATATTTAGGAGAGTTGATCACTCAACGAGACTGGAAATACTCAAACTCAGCACTTCACAAAATAGCAAATCTTTCTTTCTCAGTTCTGATAATGCGGCCGATTTTGTATGCATGTACTCAACGCAAGCAACCTGAGTTTTGTGCGGTGGGTTTGCATATCAATCAGCAGATTCAGTACCCCTGCTTGATCGACGCAACCAGCTGCAGGGGCGCGAACTTGCGCGCTTCGGGTAAATATGGCGCCCGGCGATCGACGTGTCCCCTTGAGTTGACGTCCAAAATAATTCCACTTGCTTTTGTTCAAAGCAATCCACTGACACAGTTTGTTTGCGTTGGGTAGTTGTTTTGAAGAGTTTGTCACTAGCCCGTGAAAATGCCTGCCATTGGAAAGGAGAAGCTGACCAAGGAGGAGGAACGACTCCTAAGAGACTACAGCCGACAGGTGTCGAAAACAACATCAGCTCTGTTTTATGTGAATGCGTTTTTCGTCTCCGCAATTCCTCTATGTTAGTGGAAATCTGCCCTGATTGTTTTCGCCAGCACAGCACTCTAAGCAGTTGTTGTGCTGTGTTTTGTGCAGGGCTGTTTATCCGCATCCACCATATGGATGTTTTCGACATGATCTCCGCTGCATTGTTCGTGATCATGACCCTAGTTGATACGTATTTGGTTGCTCAAGCGTACATGAAAGTCAAATTCACAATGAAGCACAAGTAAGAAACACTTTGTTGATCACTTGCGTATCTTATGTCGTAAATCATGATGGCGCCTGCTGTGCAGTTGTGTATCATGATTCTTCAGTGTGATGATCATAGAAATATTTCACAACTGTTGTTGAGGCGTAGTTTCTTCAAATTCCATATTTTCAAAAGTGCAATTACTATATTCGTACCAAAGATTACCCCTGTATTGTTGGACATCGCGAACGAATATCATTGTTTGCGACGGGTCATGCATACATGTATTTAGTGTAGTATATGTAACGTGAACATTTGCAATCTGACTGTTAAGGTCTTGGGTTTCCGAGAGGTCAATCAATTACATTAAAGAAGATTGTAACAATTACCTTATGGGAATTGTCTGTTACACAAGACCCTGAGGAAAGAAGTATCAATTAGAATTAGAAGTAGAGTACATACATGTACCCCATGCCTACTCAAGCCATTGGACATGGGTTGGTATCGTTTCTGTGGTGCCTTTTGGCACCTTGTTTTCTTTACATGTGCACATGCAAACACCTAATGGGGTCTGTGCATAGCCCCCTATAATAGTCTGGAGATTTCACCAGGCCAATGATGTGCCAGGTGAAAAAGTTGCATTATCGAGCTAGCTTTGTTGTGCATACTAGAGCAAAATGCCATACTACTAGATCGTAGCGGTACAACAGTTCTTAATTCAGTCGCGTCCCTCCTCCTATTCCAAATTGCACATTTATCATACAGAATGTGCCCCTTGCCCCATTTTAGAACTGTGTCAGACACAAGACCCTTTGTACCGTTTCTGAAATCAAAAATGTTCTGAGCTTCTTGGTGTTAGGAGCTGTGTTCTATGAAGCTTTTTTCTTCTTTTTTCATGTGGATCAGCTAGGAAGCTTTCATTGCATATAATGCTAGTAGTTGGCGTGGTCATATTATTCCTCAATCTGTACAATCATAGTCGACTTCGGGTATTACTTTTTGCTTTTGAAATGCATGTCGAATACCGTAAAGTCGCGGATAAAAGCCAGGCTTATAAGCCGCTTTCTGCATCAGGCTTGTATGCAAACCATGCTTATATGCACCACTGATATTTTTGCCAGGCGTCTATGCGCGACACGCGTAGATATACCGGTATGGCGGCAGTTTTACTATGCACCGTACATAGCGCATGCACTCTTGACCTACCCGATCCGCGCTTTCATAGAAGCCAGGCTTACATGCATTTGACCCGTTTCATTTTCAGGCTTCTATCCGCGATGTGCTTGTATGCAAACCCGGCTTTTATCCGCGACTTTACGGTAGTTGGCATAGGCTGGTCTTTGTTGATTCATCCTGCTTATGTGATGGGGAGTTATTGTATTCCAGCCACCAAGTGTGGTACGAGCTACAGGATATTGTTGCTCAACAGCGAAGTTTGGCTTTGTTTGGATGCAGCATTTTACGAATAGTAGAACCTTGCTTTCGCAATGGGCATTGTGCTGAAATGTGTACTCTGCTGGATGTCGTGTTCTCTTGTCCAGAATTGCAAACAAGCGCAAGGATGCCGTCACTCGTGAGGTCACCAAGCAGCTGTCTGAGTCAGCAGAGGGCAAGAAGCTCAGCCGACAGGAGAAGGACAAGAGGTGAGGTGCTGCGCCTATGTGCGAGGGGGGGGGGGGGGAGCATGGCATCGCCGTGTGAAGCAAACTCTGCCTGTCAACGAGGAGTTTGTATGCTGTATCCGTAATTTTGGGCTGTGTTGGCCCTTCGCTTTTTGGGCTCCGCTTTACATTATGCTTCTATGTAGGAGAAAGATGAAGTGTCTCTTGCGATGATCTGTGCTGGAAGCAGCAATACAAACAATAAACCATTGGTCTTCCTGTCCAACTCAGTATTCTTAGAAACGTATTCATCATATTCGCTGAGAGTGAGTGCAGCGTATGAATTGGCCATTTCAGGTTGTTTGAAAACATGACGTTTGTCTCAGACTAATGCTTAGCACATTGCTTGTATCTCTTGTAGAATTGACTACCGCAAGAGCGAAGTTGCTGACAACGAGGCGACTCTCTTCTCCATCTTCTACAACAACACCCTTTTCCTGTTCTTGCTCATCGCTGTTTTCTACTTGCTCCGGTCGTTCTCTCCCTACGCGTAAGTCTTTTGCCTTTTGAAATAATGTACCTACCGGTAGCCTCATCCATGTAACAACAGTTGATTATTCTGAGGGAGGTGAGAAGGGGAAAAGTCTATATCCACTGTGCTTCTGTTGATGCATTGGAACGTGCGGGTGTCTTTTGAGTTTTTGTATTCGAGTACATTTTTCTTATGCGCTCGACTGTGGCGTCTGTTTTGCAAAACATGTGTCGTGTCGTAGTTGCTCTGTTCCATGTCTATTGGGAGGCTTGGACAATTGCACACCGCACTGTCACTCACATGGCCATAATCGGGGCGTTTTTTGCAACACTGTCTTTTAAAAATCTGTCCTGTGGCTCAAATGGACCTGCTTTCCGATGTTTCTTCGCACATTCATTCTGCTAACCTTGCCTATTGTGTTGGGGTGCCGTAAAGGCCCTTATTAACCCTTTTGATGCAAATGATATACGCCATGCGTGCTGTAAATCAAACGACTAATGATGTTTATAGACGTAATGAGATTTGCGCAGTATGGTGCGGGGCATAGATCAGTGTGCAGGCTTCCGTAACTCGTTAGAAGGTCTTGAGCTCAGCTTTCCAGGGATATAAAGTTCTTATAGGAGAAGGATTGACAGAGCGGCTGCAGAGTGAACGGCACCGAGCGATCGTGAATTTTTTGTTCATGCGTTTGCCAGGGGATTTCCCTTTGCCACAACGCATGCGTAATGTACACCAAGGAAAGCACATGGATCTCAGCTTTGCAGTGCAGGTTTAATCGTGAAAATCGGCTGAACTGGAACAAGAAGCCGAGGGCAGTTTGCTGGAGTAAAAGGGGTCAGCACAGAAATGGTTAACGCCCACCCGTGTACACACCCAGGTGCCGGGTGTCAGCACTCTTGTCCCATTTTCTAGCCCACCTCCATGTAAATGCCCATTGGCGAAAGCACGGGTCCAGTACACAGTGTAGTGCATGCTTGTTACTGTAGTATAACTTAGTGTACAGTACACTGTGCTAACCTGTACATCCGGCCGTACGGCATGATGTGAAAATAAGTTCTCCGAAATAACCCCGGGCCCAAATTGATGCCCATGTTTTGGCCTTCACTGACCTTTCTGCCCAGGGCCTAATTACGGGCTTTTGCGGTATCACGGTTGCGTACTGCGATTGTTTTGTTCATCCTGTATTTATGTTTTACACTATTCTGTTACTTGTGTTCTTTGTGTTCCTTGCAGCAACTATGTCACATCGACAGCAGCTGCCGGTTCTCTTGCTTACCTCTTCTCTACTGGATCATAAAGGAATACCTTTCAAGGGACGCAGTTGTCTCTTGCCCCATAAACTGTGCAGATCTTGTAATTGCGATCCTGTTTGTAGGTTGCAACTGTCATTTGCACCATTCAACCTTGTACAGAGTGCTGACATAATACTCGGATGGAAGAAAAGTTTTGCTTAGACCGAGATTCGAGAAGCATTGGAGCTTCGTGCGATTTTATTCTATATTTTCTGCTGGCATTCTGGTACTAGTTGACTGCCATCAGCATGTTTTTTTGATTTTTTGGTGTTTATTTGTTCATGCTTCATTCTATTCTACTCCGCTGTCTGCCTAGTTATCATTAACCTTCCACTTTGAATTGGAACTGTTCGATTTTGCGAACCAATTTCGGCTGTTCTCACTGTTTCTGTGTTTGTCGGTGCGGAAAGGGGTGATGTGCTATGGAATACCATTTCACAGTAGTGTGCGAATACCCGATCGAATCGATGTCAGAATGGGAACCCTGGCTTATTTGTAGTTTCTTTGTACATGTAGTATTGTACCTCCCTCTCTAATTCCTCCTCCCCCCCCCCCCCCCTGTCGATTTTCTGCCTGTGAAGCGACTTCGGCGCGCGTATACAATGAAATACGATGTTGAACCGATATCGATGCATGTACTGCTTGTACACAATACGTGCCAGTGCAGGATGAAAATGTGCACTTGACAGCCTTGATTTATAATTCCCGCTCCCTGCCTAAAGCCCAATACCCTACTACATACATGTACTCCCTGCTTTACAGTATTATTGTTTTGACCTACCGGTAGCAAGAGTTCATAACTCTTGCTACCGGTATTATTTAAATTTTGCAAGAAGTACACGGGCCCATCCATGTGCAACTACCGGTAAAAACAATTTAACATACAAAATTACAATGTACCGGTACTTGCATGTCAGCAAGCTGAGCAAGAGACACATACTGTAAAGTCGTGTCTAAAGTTGAAAATCCGTACATGAAACTTCTGTATATCTAGCAGCACACACACTTTGAACCGAGGCTCGTCAGTCATTCCAAGGTTTCTCGGACTTGCAACAATGTGCCATACATGTCTGTTGTTTAGGCACGTGGTCTGACAACAAATGCCAGCTTTACTTGACCAAACAACGGGAGCTGGCTACATGATCGTAGTTTTCCGGGCAGTCATACCCCAACCATTCAGGTATGACTTCTACTGAAAACCATGCAGGGGGTAGTGCTCCCTGCTGGGAACCACACGAAGTACACGTTGGGGTCTGTATGATTCGGAAGCTCCACGCTAGCTCTGCCAAACTTCAATCCCTTCTCGGTCACACTATTACAGGGGCGAGGCACCATGAAAAGAACCAAATGTGGTAGCAATTCAATGTCTCCAATAATCACTGTTAATCAGATACCGCAATGGGCCTTCACTTTGAAACGACTCGTCCGAAAATGTGAGCAGACAATACTCCCCTTAACTGAGCTGCTCATTGACAGTGGGAAATAATTATTACAGGTTTAAAAAAATTCACAACGGCTGGCCAGCAGCACCTATCATGGAGAGTGGAGTAAGTTAGTGAAAAACAATAGGTCTGGAAGCTCAAGATAACACCACACAAGACGAGAATGCCTAGCATCGATGCTAGCTGACAAAGACTGGCCACTTGTCGACATGCAGGCGAGGAATACTGCCATCGCTGTGCCGGTCCATCCAGAGCGGCAGGCGGCTACGGAGGTCCTGAGACAGGCGTTCGGCCGCAGCGTGACCAGCGCTAGGCGAGTCGAGCCCAGCTTGCCAGTCGGGAGAGCTCACGCCCAAGAAATCATTCACACTGTCGTCCTCGGCGCGCAACTGCGACTCCTCAATGGGCTTGAATACGCTGAGATAGCGGCGGTGGAGATTTAGAGCGAGCACAACACCTGCTTGCCATTCCAGCTGATCGTCATCTTCAAAGCAGGATGGGTCCAGCAAACTAACGAGCTCATCGCACCAGTCTCCATGCTCTGAGAGCACTAAGTACATAAAGCGATAGCGTTGATTACTGAACACCAAAAAAAGAAAGAGGAGAACACATAGAAAGGTAACTGCACACTCGGCCAAACAGGCAACGCCAGAATGACATTCATTCTCTTGTCCACTAGACTGGGGACACAATGATAAAGTTTGTACACAGTGAGTATAAACCCGCAGAACGAAAAAATGGATGTTGCACTGTTTTTAGATCTGCAAAGCACCAAAGGTTTCTTGACAGCACTCATTTCGTCCACAAAATGTGTACGGATGACATGCAATGGCAGCTAAAATCACTGAGTTTAGACCACTGAAACAACGCACATGAAAACAATACACCGCCAAAGACACATGCAGACGCGGTCATGTCCCAACACATATCTTGCCCAGCGTGAACTAGCACGTACCCGTGATAATGCGAAGTCGCACCGAGAAAAGAGCTTATCACCGCCGAGTCCGGAGTGTTCTTCTCCAACGTTGGGTCCTTATCAACTAGAAGCAAGAAAACAATGTGGCCGGGCGGAAGCATTCGAAACGACTCGAAGCTGGCCTCATCAAGGCGTGTGCATTGCCTGTGAGGAAGAGATAAGCAATGAAGACAAAACTGTTTTGTTGGAGACAGATGTGCACCTACGCATGGGACCACACACGTGTTTCGCCTGTTTTTTGATCGGGTGAATATACATACCAGCAAATGGAAACACCAGGAAAGATGTCGAGTCCCCGATAAAGAGACAAAGTCAGTGATCAAAGAGTACAAGCTCATTTGCCTGTACCTATCCAATGATGGGTAGTGAAAGTATATGGCCTGGTCTGTTGATTATCAAGGGCCTGAAGTTCAAAGTATTGCTCATGGCTGTGCTAACCAATAAGTGGACATTAGAAGTGAAGTGCACAGTTGTTAAGAGGACGAAACCCCAGCTTTTGCCAAGCAATACAGTCAGACCTCGCTTAACCGCACACATCTGTTTTCCACAAAAACATCCGGATAGGCGAGGTAACCGGATAACTGAACACACGTACTGTATATGCATGTGGCATGTCAAAAGCAGTGACATCATACATACATGTAGACAGGTCCTATGCAGTACAACTAGCGTGCCCAGTATGTAAAACAAGCGAGAAAAATGACAAGTGCATGCAACTGAGTGCTGTCCGCACACACCCAGCAGGTCAAGGACCTCATTTGCTTGTACAACTCCTTGATACTAGCTTCTGCAAGCGCTAGCCAGCCACATGCAACCGAATACGGCAAAGCATTTTGTACACATCTTAACCAGTTTGTACACAAAATCATGCACCGGTATGCGGATCGCGAGGTCCGGTTATGTTGTATGCATAACATATGCTGCACATCGGTAACCAGCGATTTTCTTCCGGATGGGGAGGGATCCGGCTAAACGAGGACCGGATAAACGAGGTCTGACAGTACGTCACAACGTTTAGCAGAATGCATGAAGAGTCTCTCCATTGTACATCAATGTCACGTCACATCTATAGCGCTATAAATGGAGAGCACGCCTCCATAAAACACCCTATTCACAGAGGGGTCTCGACTCTCCATGGGGGGGGGGGGGGGGGGTAAGGTATGTGTTAATGCAGGGTTGGGTGGGTCGTGGGAAAGGGTTTTACAAATAAGGAGGCAGTGACACTTACGCTTCAGCAATCCCGTCAGCATGTGTGCCATGCGCTGCACGGTGATCGTGAGGCCGGCGCTGGCCGTTCTGCTGCTGCCCGTCTCGTGCCTGCTGGCCAGCTTGCATCGGGATCAAGAGCATCAAGGCCAGGGCAGCTCCCAGCAAAAGCAAGTAATTGCTATCAAGCCAACTGCAATCAAGCACAGAGTATACAACAGCGGCATGCACTCCGATGACAATGTGACGACAATAAGACCCGTGCCAGGGTGCATTCAGACTACCGATAAAAAGGGACTGAATGGGGGAACGTTTCCAAGAGGATTTGATCACGTGATGTTACATCCTCACTTACAGGCACTGTCTTTGCAGGCGGAAACGTGTTGCTGCTGTGGCTGCTGCGGCAAAGCACATTCACCTTCAAAGTAGTACACTCATAGACATTTAGAATCAAAAACAACACCGGCAGATTTTGGACGAATGTCGGCAAGCTGGGCAGTGTGTGCATACGTCTATGCAAGCATACGATGCAAGTGAGTATCGCGCCAACCACCTAGCCACTTTGCGGCAAAGCAACGTATCCTCCTCGCCGTAGCTCCTCACCTGGGCTGGGGTGGCCGGTGGAAGAAGAAGCTCTGGCCTCTGGCGTCGCGGAAAACAAAGAACTCCTGGTGCCGGCCGTGTGCCCGCTGTCCGTGAAAACGGAAGTCATGCTGCTGTCGCTGAGGGGCACCATCTGTTGTACCATACATATCATAGTTCTTCTTCTTCCGCTCATCGCTCAGCACCTAGGCAAAGCGAAATAAAAAAAGGAAGAAAGAGGAAAACCTGTTTGTTCGCTGGTATAATGTAAACTTATTTTCAGTAGTGTTTCAGTGTGTGTGTGTGTGTGTGTGTGTGTGTGTGTGTGTGTGTGTGTGTGTGTGTGTGTGTGTGTGTGTGTGTGTGTGTGTGTGTGTGTGTGTGTGTGTGTGCGTACAGAGACCAAAAAGTAGGGATTCACTGGCCAGAAAAAGCCACTTCATAGCTGTGTGGTGTAGACCAGGCTGAATAGTGGCGGTTAGTTCTTCAGTCTTGCAAGCTGTTCAATGGTGCAATCCCAACACAAGTCGCTATGGCTTTTCTTCTGCTGTAGCATCGCTATCATCGCCTTTGGTGATGGGCGTCAAAAGGTGTGTGTGTGTGTGTGTGTGTGTGTGTGTGTGTGTGTGTGTGTGTACGTGAGGATACATCCAGTGCATTTGCAGACCTGTGTGCTTATCTTGCGACGGGCATATCCATGGTACATGGTGCACACATGCGTGCGGGTTTGCAGGGGGGGGGGGGGGGGGGGGAGGGGGGGGGGCACTAGCTGACCAACCTGTGAGACACAAGGCTTACTGTAAAACAAAACTCTTTGCACCGACCCAAAATGCGGACGCCAAAGAGAATATGCACGTGCAGTGCATATTGCTTACCTCATACGCCTGGTTGATCTGAATGAACTTTTCCTGGGCACCACTGCCCTTGTTCTTATCAGGGTGCCTGGAAAAAGCGAAATGAATAGAGCAGGCATGAGCAAACGTGACTTCCGAAGCAAGGTTTTTAGCAGAAGCTGTCCAGGGTAGGACCCTAAATGCATCATCTACTGTTGTTACAAATTTATTTCAAGGTCTTACTTAGTATATGGATTTTGCTACATGATATTGTACTAAATATTAATTGCGTTAGGGCGTGCTCACACTGCGGCAAGAGGCTCATGTCCAAGTGACAGCATCACGCAGAAACGTGATGATCGTGCTCACATAATTATGGTCTAAAATGGCCAAAGAAAAGCGTTGGGTTTTCAAATTTCTTGATATTCAGAAAAATGTGTGCATTGCCAATTTGCCAACATCAAATCGAGTGTTTTTTACAGGCAGCAAGCCCTCTTATTTCATCAAAGGCCGAGACGAAAACTGAATTGACACTCAAGCCGCCAACACAGATGGGTGGCAGATTTGTTCCTTTCCACGAGGAGCAGTCTTTTCACTGCCTGGGGACAGAGTTGAAAATTCCCGCCCTGAGAGTATGATCACGCACCTTGAATTCAGACCCTGTTTGATTGAAAATACGTTTCACGTCCATGGGACTCCACGTCCAAAGCCGTGACAAAAATGTGTGGGGTCGCCCAACACCAATAACCTCAACAGATCATTTTCTGGTTTTCCGGTTGTGATATATTCACTGGTGGAGGGATATGTTTTTATATTTATATATTTTTATTATGCATGCTGTCTGGGTAGACCATGCGTGCATTGTAGTGTGGTGGAGTGAGGTAGCTACTTCTAAAACGTACCATTCTTTGGCTAGCTGTCTGTAAGCACGCTTGATCTGAGCAGCATTCGCTGATCGAGAAACTCCCAGCGTTCGGTACAAGTCTTCGCACCAGGCCGAGCCGCAGAGCAAGGCTAGGTAGATGAGTAACAGGATCGTCTTCATCACTGCTTTTCTACCCGGCCGACAGATCATTGACATTGGTGTCTCCCTGAGGAGCATTGCAGCTCATTCATTGGATGGACCATGGTGGACATAATCATTGGAATAATCACGACAACATAATTCAAAAACATCCGAAACCATTTCCAAGCAAGGCTTTTTCGATTTTCACTGTGTGATCATGTTGATGATGAATGAAATCAAGCATGGCACTTGATGACATCACTGACTGTAGTGAGATCGAGAAGCTACGTAGCTAGCTACGTGGACGTCATGACCAGATGACGTGGATCTACTATTCTACGTCCTGGATCATGGACGTCATCCTCCTCCTGGACCTTGGATTTTCAAATGCGAAGGACTAAAGCCAAAAAGGACCCTCACTTAATTTTTTGCCGACTACCCGCCAAAAAACACATTTCGACACGCGTGTGTGCTGGACGTCTGCGCACGACAAGACGTGTGAGCTGGCTGACAAGTGAGAGCCAGGGAGTCGTCAAGTACCGGCATTTGACGACTCCCGGCCTGGTGAGAGCATGCATGCATGCATGCATGTCCAGCTGGCGGGAAAGGGAACCTAAAAATTGTAGATCGATGGGTTGAATGTGAAATTGTGGATCTACACTAGGTTTGTTTTGATGTTCTGATACTTGTTGTAATGGCTAGTGATCTTGCAAACGTTACTGTGACTTTTCCAAGTCCTACTGATATACCTTGTCAAATCAGATGCCCTGTAGTAGTCTTGGTGGAAGCAGACTGGAATGCGTTGAATTCGTAGCTTCTGAAATTGAAATTTATTTTTTCTTGAGTGACACTGACAAGCGATGGCATTGGCGACAGGAGAACTTTGCTTCCTTCCAGGAGAGCTGCATCGCAGTCGGATCCTGTCCATGCACATGCGATCATGCTGTGTTGTAGACAGTGGAGAGCTAATTTTGACCCAAGAAAATAGTTTTGAACATTCATGAAGAGGATATTGTTGCTGTAGCTAGCTGACAGACATAGCCTGTGGCAGTGGTGTATGAAATCAGCTTGCAAGGTCTGCAGAGAAGGAGCTGAACTGCACACGCACTTGCTACTGCTCTCGCAAGCTGACAGACATAACCTGTGGCAGTGGTGTATGGAATCAGCGTGCAAGGTCTGTAGCAACTTGATCATGGCAGAGAACGAGCTGAAGCGAGATGTGAAGGGTGCCATGCAGCTTACACTTGTGCATGTTCTACGTTACTCTACGGCGAGGAACTACACACGCACTCACTACTGCTCTTGCAAGGTGATTGGCTTCTCTCCAGTGATTCAGGCCGCCTCAAAGCATGGATCCACTGCACTTTGTCGCGGAACACATCAACATGCCTGTTGACGTACACTGGAAAAGATACGACTCCACGATGAGGACCTGTGTAGCAACTTGATCATGGCAGAGAAGGAGCTGAAGCAACTGCCATTGGCGCATGTTTTTTAGTTTTAACGGTACTCCACCATGAGGAACAGCACTCGCTACTGCTCTTGCCAGGTGATTTGCTTCTCTCCCGTGATACAGGCTGCCTCAATGCATGACTTATCTGCACATCAATACGCCTGACGTAGATATAACTGGAAAAAGGTGTCACTCCACGATGAGGAGCACACAGCACTCATAAGGGTTGTACAGAGTGAGGGGCTTCTCCCCAGTGATGCAGGCTACCTTGAAGCATGATGAGCTACGTGAAAAATACCGCGCGGTGTGTTGAAGCGAGGCATGGAGCATGCCATTCAGCTTGGAACTGCACGTGGCATTTGATAGGGCTTGTGCAGGGTGAGTGTCTTCTCTCCAGTGATGCAGGCCACCTTGAAGCGTGAATCCACTGCATCTCTCTCTCTCTCTCTCCAAATTCTTTGGTAATGCAGCCTTTCACCAACATTGTCCGGTTGCACGCCTACTGTCACTCAAACAGGACCAATGGATGCAACATGTGCCTAGCAGATACACTGTTGATCATGAACAACTCCAATAACACCCCCCCCCCCCCCCCCCTTACCATTGTCTTCAATACACATCCAACTAGAACTTGAAGTATATTAATCGAAGCTGCTGGTATAGTCTCTACTCCTTGATGCTACCCACTATCTTTTTCTGTCTGTCTTTCTCTTTCTGTGTATGTATGTGTGTGGGTGTGTGCGTCTCTCTCTCTCTCTCTCTCTCTCTCTCACGCACACACACACACACACACACACACACACACTCCCTCACTCACTCACTCACAAAGCATGGATCCACTGCACTTTGTCGTTGAACATCTCAACACGCATGTTGACGTACACACACACACTCTCTCTCTCTTCTCTCTCTCTCTTCTCTCTCTCTCTCTCTCTCTCTCTCTCTCTCTCTCTCTCTCTCTCTCTCTCTCTCTCTCTTCTCTCTCTCTCTGTTTCTCTCTCTCTCTGTCTCTCTCTGTCTCTCTCTCTCTCTCTCTCTCTCTCTCTCTCTCTCTCTCTCTCTCTCTCTCTCACACACACACACACACACACACAGTGACACACACACTCCCAAAGCATGGATCCACTGCACTTTGTCGTTGAACATCTCAACACGCATGTTGACGTACACTCACTCTCTCTCTCTCTCTCTCTCTCTCTCTCTCTCTCTCTCGTTCTCTCTCTCTCTCTCTCTCTCTCTCTCTCTCTCTCTCTCTCTCTCTCTCTCTCTCTCTCTCTCACACACACACACACACACTCACAAAGCATGGATCCACTGCACTTTGTCGTTGAACATCTCAACACGCATGTTGACGTACACTCACTCTCTCTCTTTCTCTCTTCTCTTCTCTCTCTGTCTCTGTGCGTGTGTGTGTGTGTCTCTCTCTCTCTCTCTCTCTCTCTCTCTCTCTCTCTCTCTCTCTCTCTCTCTCTCTCTCTCTCTCTCTCTCACACTCACTCACTCACAAAGCATGGATCCACTGCACTTTGTCGTTGAACATCTCAACACGCATGTTGACATACACTGTATCTCTCTGCGTCTTTTGATTTCTGTGTCGCTCTTTTTCTTTTTCTCTCAACTTGTGTATCTACAATGTACTTTGCTGTAATAAATTCTTTTGAAGTTCTGTCCTTATTTGACTGGATTATTGATCGCGTATTGATCAAGCTCGGCACGAAGTATTGGCTCGCTTTCTCACATACTTACTCTCTTTTTCTGTCTGTCTCTCCATCTCTCTTTCTGTGTGTGTGTGTCTCTCTCACTCTCTGTTGACGTACACTGTATCTCTCTTTGTCTGTCAGTTTCTCTCTCTCTCTCTCTCTCTCTCTCTCTAACACACAGGCACAAGCTTTCTATCTGTCAGTTTCTCTTCTTTTGTTGCTTTCTCATGAACACTAGCACACACACACTCTCTCAACATTGATCACTTATTCCCATCATGCTTTTTTGGGTTTCGTTGTGATAGAATATTGTACTACTACTTGTAGTACTACTGATGTACAACACTATTCCCATGCAACTGGAGGGTATATATCCGGGTGCTATTTGTTGTTGTGGCTAAGAGTGCATGGGTGCTATTTGTTGTGGCTAAGAGTGCATGTGTGCGGCCAGCTAGTTCCAGCATGCAAGGTGTTACATTTGCTACACTGTGGTCTTACAAGCACAGAGAACCATTATGTTCTAACTTTCCTTGATACAACTATGAACCGAAGCACAACTGCTGCAAACATTAACTGCCCATTTAGGCAAGATATATAGCAACAACTAAAAGTAGAAGAAGTAAGTAAGACTAGCGTCCTTCCAGCTCCAGGACAGTATGAACAGGCAACAACATAAATTTTAACAGCATTGCATCGTACATGCATGTAGCCATGCAGAAATAATTGTACATTTAGTTGTGAATGCAAATCCAAGGCGGAAAGCAGTCAGGCGTAATAGATGCCAGCAATAGAAACCAGATCTGTGACGCATGTCACATGCATTCATGATGATCAATGCATGATCGTGGTTCACCACCATTGAACACAGTAGTACATGTAAATTACACAGAAATAGGAGATTAAATCTAACATATCTCCCTCGTGAAAGAAAAGTGATAAATATCACATGAGTGAGTAAAAGACGAAGACAAAAAGAAGAAAAACATGACAAAAACAATGGCAATTGAATATGATAACTCGGATGGAAGAAAAGGACCAAGGACCTACAAGACGTGCTAGAGCTGATAGCCAGTTTGTTGTAGAACGTCAGTACTGTCGGTCAGTTTGGTGCAATGTTATAATTATTGCTATTGCATGAGCTGATTGTCAAGTAACTGGTGGTGTTAGTGGACAGTATAGCATAACTTGTAGTTCTTTGGTCTTTTTTTCTTTACTATGAATATGAAAACAATCACAGTTCGCTCAGTACTTGCACCTTTAACTTCCTGTGGCTCAAGATGATGAACTGCATGCTTGTATACCTTCCCAGCTACTTAAACTTCTACTATCCGAACAGCACCATCCTTACCTGGATAGGTCATAAGCACACGTCCAAGTGGCTAGTGTGCAGTTGCGGTGTGCTTATCCATCACAAGCACGATATCTCCTTAGGGTGATGCTGTTAAAGCAACCACATCACTTGGATGCTTAGCTTCGGAACAATCTCTTTCAGCTAACGTTTCCATACCTGATCTACAATACGTTGCACAAACTCCCAGCGCTTTCTTGGGTGAGCTTGAGTCATTGTAGATGTGTTGGCTTCAGCAGCAACAGTTGCCCTAGCATGGCCAATGAGAAAGTGTTGTGGCAATAGCAGCTGAAGGCCTTCATGCAGCACTAGTTTCATTGCCTTGGCCATTACCTAGAACACACCACCAAAGTGTGGTGCACTTGGTGGCTTGAAGTACCAGGTAATGTCGCGGTATGACCTTTCTGCTGCTAGTCTGAAGTTGTCGAGAAACTTGACAGCTGCTTTTACCTCTTGATCAGCCACACGGAAATTGGTACCGTTGTCCGATTGCATCTCTTGTGGCACACCACGTCGCATGGTGAATCGGGGTCTAAGAGCCAGGAGAAAACCGTCGTTGTCCAGAGATAACCTCGAAATGACAAGCCCTAGTCAGCAGGCATGTAAACACACATACATATATCTTTGAGTTGTGACCGATCTCGACCCTGGCGTGCATAGAAGGGGATGACATAGCCGACACTAATTATGGCAAATGACTGATGTGGTCCAGTTGTCTTGAAGTCGGGAAGTGGTGGCATTGCTGGTGTTGCTGTTTTGACATGGCCCTTGCGGCAAAGAATGCACTTGGCCCGATGCCTCCAGGTGGCCTGCATCACTGGAGAGAAGCCACTCATCCGGCACAAGCCTCCACGAGTGCTGTGTGCTCCTCATCGTGAAGTGATACCTTCCTAGTGAACGTCAACAGGCGTGTTGATGTGTTCGACGACAAAGTGCAGTGGATCCATGCGTTGAGGGGGCTGGATCACTCGAGAGAAGCCAATCATCTTGCGAGAGCAGTAGCAAGTGCGTGTGCAGTTCAGCTCCTTCTCTGCAGACCTTGCAAGCTGATTTCATACACCACTGCCACAGGCTATGTCTGTCAGCTAGCTACAGCAACAATATCCTCTTCATGAATGTTCAAAACTATTTTCTTGGGTCAAAATTAGCTCTCCACTGTCTACAACACAGCATGATCGCATGTGCATGGACAGGATCCGACTGCGATGCAGCTCTCCTGGAAGGAAGCAAAGTTCTCCTGTCGCCAATGCCATCGCTTGTCAGTGTCACTCAAGAAAAAATAAATTTCAATTTCAGAAGCTACGAATTCAACGCATTCCAGTCTGCTTCCACCAAGACTACTACAGGGCATCTGATTTGACAAGGTATATCAGTAGGACTTGGAAAAGTCACAGTAACGTTTGCAAGATCACTAGCCATTACAACAAGTATCAGAACATCAAAACAAACCTCGTGTAGATCCACAATTTCACATTCAACCCATCGATCTACAATTTTAGGTTCCCTTTCCCGCCAGCTGGACATGCAATGCTCTCACCAGGCCGGGAGTCGTCAAATGCCGGTACTTGACGACTCCCTGGCTCTCACTTGTCAGCCAGCTCACACGTCTTGTCGTGCACGCGCAGACGTACGTCCAGCAGGACCAGCACACACGCGTGTCGAAATGTGTTTTTTGGCGGGTAGTCGGCAAAAAATTAAGTGAGGGTCCCTTTAGTCCTTCGCTTTTCAAATGAATGATTATGTTGGCATAGCACATTCCGAATCCGAGTTTTTATTCACACGGCTGATTTGCCCCGACAGTCATGGTTTACAACATAATTGACCTTGCTATTTTGGCCCACTACTACTAGCACTGGCTTTGAGGCAGTACTCATTGAAGTTGGGTTAAGCTGTAAGTAAGTAGTTAGTTTTAGCGATGGATCTCTTCGGTGATCTTCCACCACCTGCTGCCACCTCACCCAGCAAGCCAGGTGAGGACACCCTAAACACATCATCTCTTCTAGATCCTTTTCCCAGTATTTTACATTCACTACTAATGAAAAGCTCCCTCGGAGACATGCTAAAGCACTTGGGAGGAGGGCGAATTTCAGGCTCTTCAAATTCACCAGCAATGTTTGTGAAAAATTTCCACAAATAATTTAATTAATGCGTGACCCCATACACATAGACGGAATGACCAACAAGTGCAAGTGTGAAGACACCCAACAAGCGTGAAATGTAGTGCAATAATAGGCAACCAATAGACCTAACTGATGAGTTGTTGACCACCTACCTAACAGTCTTAGTGTGAATTTCATTTGCGTTGCTCACTGATCAAATAATTATGTAATCTTTCCTCACATGTCTTAAACCCTGCTCTATTTTTCTTTTTTCTTTTGATCTTTTCCTTTTTCCTTATAATTATTTGTGTGCCTGTAGTCGATCTCATGTAATAAGGCAACACTGCCTGTTTGTTCTTCGACGTTAAATAAACCAATCCAATCCAATTTGTTCTGTTTACGTAGGTTCGGTTTCTTTGTGTGGATATAAACAGCGAGAAGGCATGAAAGTATACCTGTGGAAACGTTCAAAAAATATTTTTGGTGAAGAGCCTGAAGTTTGTATTCGTCCCACGTGTTATTTTTTGTTATAAAGTAAAGTTCGTACGTTCACATTACAACTGGCTATTATAGTATACACTTGTGTTGAGAACAACCAGTGCAGGAAGTTTTGCTTGTGCCAGGCAACCACCATGCCACCACCAGGCCACCACCAGGCAACCACCATGCCACCACCAGGCAACCACCATGCCACCACCAGGCAACCACCATGCCACTACCATGCCACCACCAGGCCATCACCATGCCACCACCAGGCAACCACCAGGCCATCACCAGGCCACCACCATGCCACCACCCTGCCTAGGGTGCCTGGTGGCAGGACACAACTAGTTATATTTATTTTCATGATACAAACAACGAGAAAAGCAAAGCAAAGACAATCATTGTACAACTGACTCGAACAACAAGCACCATGCAAAATGTCTATTCAATATGCGCTTCGGCCACCGCAAGTACGGCGGACTGATCATTCGAATCCGCACTGGGGTGGCCATACCGATCGCGCGAGCCACGCAAGCACAAAAAGTGCATGATATAGATACCCGGTGGCAGATACAGTACAGCGACTGGTGCCACTACTTTTAATGCGGTGAAAATTAACGTGTCGGATCCGAAAAATAGCAGTCGTGGGGGGTTCGCAGTCCTTCATTGTGAGTACATGATTGTGCTGATTATTTAGGCCTCGTCCAATCTGATTGTATGCAATAGACAGCCCATGCACAACACTTTGGATGATAGTCACTTGTGATGTCGTCCGGTAACTTGTGATGTCGTCCGGTAACTTGTGATGTCGTCCGGTAACTTGTGATGTCGTCCGGTAACTTGTGATGTCGTCCGGTAACTTGTGATGTCGTCCGGTAACTTGTGATGTCGTCCGGTAACTTGTGATGTCGTCCGGTAACTTGTGATGTCGTCCGGTAACTTGTGATGTCGTCCGGTAACTTGTGATGTCGTCTGGTAACACAATGTACAGTAAAACCTGTCAAGGCGACCACCTGTCTCAAAGGCCACTGCAACCAGGACCAAGGGATGCTGTTCCAGTCAAACGACCCTGGACAGGGAGACCACCTGGCAACAGAGACCACATTTTGAGGGTCCCTTGAGCGGTCGCCTTAGACAGTTTCACTGTACGCTGTAGTCACTAGAATGCCTCTGCTAACGGCGCGCACCGGTATTTACCCTCGAGACGACTTGCACGAGTAGTTTGTTCTCTAGCGCGGAGTGCGATTACAGTGTCACTGTTGGCTGCGTCCCAGTCACCTGTGCCGTAACACACGGACTGTGTACGGGTAGTACTCTGCAGCACATGGATGGAGAGCGCCGAGCGATCTTATCTTCAGCAGGATGACCCAGGACCAAGGCATAGTTTGGTTGGCTCTTCCAGTAACTTGCGCTCAGTCAGCGTTAGTTACATGCAGGCTGCGCAGTGGAATTCTCGTTGAAGTGTGTGTGTGGTTTCTGCTGTCCACATTGCGGTAATTTACTGAGAGAGGGAGAGAGAGAGAGAGAGTGTGTGTGTGTGTGTGTGTGTGTGTGTGCGTGCGTGCGTGCGAGTGTGTGCGTGCATGCACACATATGTGTATCTGCTATCATGCCTTGGACACAAGACTGCCGTTTAATACAAATATTTTTGCTTGGTTCGCAACAGATGCTTTGTTTGGTGACCTACCGAGAGCGAGCAGCAGCTGTACTACGCCGCCTGGTGCATTGAGACCGTCTTCGGCCGATGGGGATGAAGAACCGCTGGCCAAAAGAAAACCGTCGGCAGGTAAATTTGGCTGGCAATGTCTTCTTGCTCTCTAGATTTAATTGCACATGTATATGCTGTGCTTGGTTTGAATTTGATTTCAAGAATCAACAAATTTTGTTCTGAAGTTTTGTTTTCTGTGCTCTCTTTGGCCTGGATACAGTAATCCCTCTGGGAATGTGATGGTTCTTTTGTACATGTACTTTGAAAGTGATTACTTACGCACACATTGTAGGCATTGTTAGGTCTCACGTCTATCCGTGTGTCTGTGTGTGTCTGTCTGTCTGTGCATCTGTGTGTGTGCGCGTGTCTGTCTGACTGACTCCGTGTGTGTGTGTGTCTGTTTGTCTGTCTATCTGTCTGTGTCTGTGTGCGTGCATGTCTGACGCCGTGTCTGTTTATCTGTCCTTTTCTGTCTGTATCTTTATCTGTGTGTACGTATGTGTGTAGGGTGTCCCGCGCTGCGAGGCTTCGTCGCTCATCGACGCGGTGAGCGAGACGAGATGCAGGATGCATTTCGTGTTGATGATTCGTTTCTGTCGTCGCTTGCCGCGGTACCGCATGACGTGTATGTGTAGTACTAAGCTAGTGAGCTGTACAGACAGTGCATTGCGTGTTTCCTTTGCACCAATCCCCAATCCCCCTCATGCACGTACATGTATCTGCCCTATCCCGAAAGAGGACCTGTGATCAGCGAGGTCTTGAATTCCCTCAACAATGCAGGGCACGTGTACCTTGTTGTTATGGACGTTCGCTATTGTCATCACCAACCAACCTAGTGACTCAATTCTCTTAAAGCAGTCAAGCTACATTTTTCTAGTGTAGTCTCATGGGTTTCACCTGTTTCATAAACTAGAGCTAAGGCCAAGCGTACTGGCTAGCCTCTTTGCTATGCTAGATGTAGAGTGTATGTGTAGCTGGTGCATCTACACCTCAACCTATGCGTACATCGCCTCATGTGTTATGGATATTGCGTGTGCATGCGCCCGTGCATGCGTGTGTGCGCACGTGTGTATGTGTTTGTGTGTGTGTGTGTGTCTATCTCCGTGTGTGCAGAGCCAGCATGTCTTACTACGGCGTGTTTGACGGTCATGCTGGTGCCAAGGCGGCGGTGTACTGCGCCGAGCACCTTCACACGCACGTAGCAAGCCTCTTTCCGAAAGGTAAGTACCTGCCTCATCAGTACCGATCACTTCTGTTTGAATTTGGTCTCTTTCACCCAGGTGTCCCCCCTTTCTACTGCTCTTTAGTGTTTCTGTGAATTTGGGCTATGTATGTTCTGGTTCACCGATCTTAGAACCATCTACCTGTGCTAGCTGCAGCTGCTGAATGAAACCGAACACTTCCCTGGTACTGATCTGCCTGTTGTGAAGCCGATGCAGACGCCATTGTTAAGGCAGCATGGCCGGGCATTGCGTATGAGTTGAGATTTCCTTCTGCGATGCCGTGTATGTGTTATGACCGTTGCTCAATGAAATCAGATCGCATGAGTCAAGTTTGCACCCTGCACCGGTTCATTATCCCAGTGTTTGCAGGCCTAGGGCTGCACAGCGTCCGACGTGGCATTCACTCACTTGATTGGATTTCATTGAGCAGCACTGTAGAATGTAGGACTTCTGGTGTTCAAGCCAGCTCAATGCTCAATATACATGTACACACTCACCATGCACTGCAATTCGTCTTTGTGTCGTGCTCCGTGCGATACAGGTGAGTCGGAGAACCCGGATGCAGCCATTCGCAAGAGCCTCGTGGAAGCGTTTCGCCAGACCGACAAAGCTTTTCTTCAAAAGGCTACTGCAGTGTGAGTGTGTGTGTAATCTGGAATGGTAGCTTGAAATGGTTACTGTACACGCAGAAATATTCGTCTGGAATTTAATTTCGTCTTTTTCGTCAAAGGAACTTTTGGACGAAATTAAATGCTGGACTAATGTCGATTTGTCCAGCTTTTCTATACACTCTTATGATCCATGGACGAAATTTTCAACCGGACGAACTCCCTTTCTTTGGAGTTGGACGGAATTATTGGCCGACGAAAAGTTCTGCCTCTACAGTACCTGCTGTTTGTGTTACTTTTGTAACAGTACTGGTACCTGTTCTGTTCTACTGTCTTATTGACTGTAGCTCACGAGTAGTCTGTTGGTGGTGACACTGCCTCTCAGGATTTCCTCCTGCACATTTATTTTCTCTTCTGTCTGTGCTTATGTCACATTTGGTTTGTGTGTGTGTGTTGTGTGTGTGTGTGTGTGTTTGTTCACGTTAAGTTGTTGTTGTTGTTGTTGTTTGAATTCTTTATTCTCACGATGGCATCATCGCCAATAACAGATACTTTTGTTGTTGTTGTTGTTGTCGTCGTCGTTGTCATCGTTTTCGTTTATTGTTTGTTGTTTGATGTTGTCGCTATTTGTTGTTGTCATTGTTGTTCATGGCTCAGGTCTCCAGCATGGAAGGACGGCTGCACAGCAGTCACCACTCTGCTGGTGAACGACACGCTGCACGTTGCCAACCTTGGCGACAGCAAGGTACGTGTAGTGCTAGGGCAGTGCTGTACGAATACTAATACATGTAGTGCTTGTCAGTGAAATCCAACTCTCTGGTACACTCTCTGCACATCAAGTCATCCAGCTCTTGATGATTGTACTACAGTGCTGCTCAAAGAAATATGACCGCATGATTCAAGTTTGCACCCTGAACCAGTTCACCATCCCAAGGTTCACAGATCTAGGACTATCATGTTCGTGTATGTCTCTCAGAACCCAAGGTGTTGTCTACTGGGGGTTTAGCTCAGTGGTAGAGCGCTCGCTTCGCATGTGAGAGGCCGCGGGTTCAAATCCCGCAACCTCCAGATTTTTTGGCCATTTTTTCCCAGGACTTTTTCGGGAGTGCTCGTGAGTCCCTTGGCTTCATTGTGTTTTGCTCTCACGCCCTGGGCCTATCTTCTTGATAATTTTGAAGAGAAAAGGCGTATGTGTAGTATGTGGCCAAGATTTCAGGGAGAGCTTGCTACGAACGAAGCGAGTTTCAAAAGCTCAGCTCTTCGTGCGCGCCCACTTTATATCCGAAGTGACCGGATGACAGTGTCTGGAAACACTCAAGCAGGATCCACACAAGCATTTTTCAATGTGTACGACAACCTGGCATTCACGTAGCTAGGTAAAACTTTTGCACATCTGCAAGCAACTCTTTGACCTAGCGTGCAGCCTTTGTTGCAAAGAAGGTCAAATTCGTACGTCGCGAAAGTTGAGCCAAGCTCAACTTCTGCGATCAGCCAGTTGAGACGGTTGTGTGGGTGCAATTTTGGGATTTCCCGGTTCCGCTGCTGTCGCATCGCAAAAATTCTTGTGTGAATCCTGCTTTTTAAGCATTGGTCCAAAACAAAGTGGCCTTTTTTTTTATAGAAACAGACCTCGGCTTCTATCTAGCATTGATGGTCTTTGGTTAGCTATGAATTGTTGTCTGTTGGGGGTTTAGCTCAGTGGTAGAGCGCTCGCTTCGCATGTGAGAGGCCGCGGGTTCAAATCCCACAACCTCCAGATTTTTTTGAGAGTACCGTATTGATTCTTTTCCTGTCAGGTAGAGCAGCACTTTAGCCGCAGGCCAACAACAGGCACACCTAAACTTGCATCCCTTTTTTCTCTTCAAAAGTTCTTTTTGCTTAACGGATCCACAATTCCTGTCCTTGGCTACTATCAGGGACCGTCCTTTCCTGCTGAACCCCACCTTTCATCTTTTGTTTTGGGCAACCTCTGGTTTCCTGGGTTCCATCAATAGAAGAGCACCACATGACTGTGTAATTCCCGTATGTGACAAGTGCTGTGCTGACAGAATTGCATCATGGAGTGTTCATGGAACACGCCTCCAAACAACCAGCCGTACCTTTCATCTTACATGTCGGGAAAGCACTATAATTTTTTTAGGTTACTTAGGAGTTATGGGGTATTCACACGACAGGAAAATCCACGTGCACCGGAAAGTTGCTATGGTATTTTACCTGTGAACGAGAAAAGTGCCTGAAAGTAGCTGAAAAGTGAGAGCGATCTGGGGGCCCACTTTCACGATAATCGTGGCGTGCACGAGTACATTTACACCAAAAAGCGCGAAACAAGACTTGATTTTTTACGCGGCTCTTTAGAGCATGATAATTATCGTATGTGTGTTTTGAAAATTTGAAATACCCATGGCTACTGGTCGGTGAAGCATTCAAAAATGCAAACGTGCCTGTCGTCGAGTGCAGCTGTGTGAATCCACACAGTCACTTTTCTCGTATATCACTCCCTGTAAAACGTGCAAGTGCCTGTCGTGTGAATACCCCATTAGGAGTCGCATACTGTAAAAGCCATATTATATATAACGAAGAGCTAATTCTAACGAAATAACGAGGAGAAATCTGACGTTAAAATAGAAATCGTTATACAGAAATCGATACATATACTGTCCTGCTGAGCGTTGAGAATGGGTGAGAATCGTTACCTTTGGTACATGTAAACTAGTCAATTTTGGGAAATCGTTATATATGCGCCTCGTTAGAATAATGGCTTTTACAGTACTCTAATTTCAGAAATTTTCGGTGCTAAATATTTTTGGTATGAGGGGGAAAGGCCAGGTTAGGCGAGCAGAAATTTTCGGTACAGAGAAGCAGTTCCCTATTGGATTATGTGTGTTAGTGTTTGTTCGGTGTATTGAAATTTTAGGTATGAAGCAGCTGCACCGAAAATGCCGAAAATTTGTGAAATTACAGTACTCTGCAGAAATGGGGGGGGGGGGTCTCTTGATACAGTTGGACTGTATTTTGAACTATTTTCATCAACCCGATCTAGATTAATAACCTTTGTTCAGCTGGCGATTGTTGTCTATTGGGGGTTTAGCTCAGTGGTAGAGCGCTCGCTTCGCATGTGAGAGGCCGCGGGTTCAAATCCCGCAACCTCCAGATTTTTTAGTAAAAAAATTCCCAATTCCCTTTTTTCACAGCGTAGTGTGTTGCTCTCCCAGCTAGCTTCCTACATGATTCTGTTTTGGGGAACTTTTGGCGGCAATGAAGTTCAATGATCCCTTGTCCACGTGCATCAGTGAGGCGAACAACAGGCTGCAGCTGGGAGCAAATCAGAACGCTGTCTTCCATTTGCTTGGGTTCTTGTTACTCGTACTCTGAATATGGCCAACCATCACACCAAAGGCATAAGTTTGCATGTCAACGCAGTACACCTTCTTATTGGAAATTGAAGGGGGGGGTTGTATGTTCAGCTTGAAAGGAAACAACATGGCTGACGTCGGTGCACTGTTCTGCTGCTACGTGCGAGGAAAGTGGCCATTGGGATTGGGTTACAGTCTGTAGGTTTTGGCTCGGTCCGAAAATGCATCTCTAAGAGATGCCAAGGCACTCCGGGCCTGATTGACAGCTGGCTGGGCAAAATTGTAGAGCGCTTGCAAACAAGTCTTGTGCAACGGGAAATCTATTCTCGCCTCCTTTGCGGAGTTGGTGTTCATAATGTGAACTCCTCCCCCCCCCCCCCCCACGCGTATGCAACCCATGAGTGATGGCCTCTTTTTGGCAGAGCATTGTCATCTGTTGGGGGTTTAGCTCAGTAGTAGAGCGCTCGCTTCGCATGTGAGAGGCCGCGGGTTCAAATCCCGCAACCTCCAGATTTTTTAGTAAAAAAATTCCCAGTTCCCTTTTTTCACAGCGTAGTGTGTTGCTCTCCCAGCTTCCTACATGATTCTGTTTTGGGGAACGTTTGGGCAGCAATGAAGTTCAATGATCCCTTGTCCACGTCCATCAGTGAGGCAAACAACAGGCTGCAGATGGAAGCAAATCAGAATGCTGTCTTCCATTTGCTTGGGTTCATGTTGCATGTACTCTGAATATGGCCAACCATCACACCAAAGGCATACGTTTGCATGTCAACGCAGTACACCTTCTTATTGGAAATTGAAGGGGGGGGGGGGGTTGTATGTTCAGCTTGAAAGGAAACAACATGGCTGACGTCGGTGCACTGTTCTGCTGCTACGTGCGAGGAAAGTGGCCATTGGGATTGGGTTACAGTCTGTAGGTTTTGGCTCGGTCCGAAAATGCATTTCTAGGAGATGCCTAGGCACTTTGGGCCTGATTGACACCTGGCTGGGCACAATGGTAGAGCGCTCGCAAACAAGTTTTGGGCAATGAGAAATCTATTCTCGCCTCCTTTGAAGTTTGAGGAGTCGGTAATCATATGTGACCCCCCCCCCCCCCCAAAGCATAGGCAACCCATGAGTGATGGTCTCTGTTTGGCAGAGCATTGTCATCTGTTGGGGGTTTAGCTCAGTGGTAGAGCGCTCGCTTCGCATGTGAGAGGCCGCGGGTTCAAATCCCGCAACCTCCAGATTTTTTAGTAAAAAAATTCCCAGTTCCCTTTTTTCACAGCGTAGTGTGTTGCTCTCCCAGCTTCCTACATGATTCTGTTTTGGGGAACGTTTGGGCAGCAATGAAGTTCAATGATCCCTTGTCCACGTGCATCAGTGAGGCAAACAACAGGCTGCAGATGGAAGCAAATCAGAAAGCTGTCTTCCATTTGCTTGGGTTCATGTTGCATGTACTCTGAATATGGCCAACCGTCACACCAAAGGCATAAGTTTGCACGTAAACGCAGTGCACCTTATTGGAAATTGAAGGTTGGGGGTGGTATGTTCAGCTTGAAAGGAAACAACATGGCTGACGTCGGTGCACTGTTCTGCTGCTACGTGCAAGGAAAATGGCCATTGGGATTGGGTTACAGTCGGTTGGTTTTGGCTTGGTCCGAAAATGCATTTCTAGGAGATGCCTAGGCACTCTGGGCCTGATTGACACCTGGCTGGGCACAATGGTAGAGCGCTCGCAAACAAGTTTTGGGCAATGAGAAATCTATTCTCGCCTCCTTTGTGTTTTGAGGAGTCGGTAATCATATGTGACCCCCCCCCCCCCCCCAGCATAGGCAACCCATGAGTGATGGCCTCTGTTTGGCAGAGCATTGTCATCTGTTGGGGGTTTAGCTCAGTGGTAGAGCGCTCGCTTCGCATGTGAGAGGCCGCGGGTTCAAATCCCGCAACCTCCAGATTTTTTAATGCTTTTTTTTCTAATTCTCCATTTTTACGGCTGTGTGCACTTGGCCACATTGTGGTCCCAGTCCCAGCTTCGTTGTGCTAGCGTGGCGGCTGGTTACGTAATGTTTTCTAGAGCACACAAGCCGGACTATTCAACTCGGTATCAATTTGGGAAAGCGGATTTGTCCTTTCCGTCATATTTTAGCTCTAGTATATAGGTTGAGTTTGGATTCTGTTGTAATACAAGTCATGGTGACATACCTTTGCGATTCTCTACATGCAGTACCAAGAGTAAGCTCCCAAGAGTGTGCAACTCAGCATATGGGGTCTCTGACGGCAAAATAACTCACATCACGTGTTCCAAGTACGATTCGTACTGCGTACAACGAAGGCCAGCTTGGGCGCAATCCGATTTTCTGCCATGATCGTGCTGGGGAGTTGCACAAGCTGAGTGGGTTTCTGTCAGGGAGTGCTATTTTTATTACTCCGTTGCTTGCTAAACCGGGCTAGAAATGTACCACGTGAACACTACACCACCTGATGTGAGTAATCGCCGTCAGCGGACCCCATAGAAAGGGTATCCACTCCAGAGATGCACACTCTCGGTAGCTTATGTACTCTTAGTAGTACCTGATACCTAGCATCCACTGCGTCCTGGGGTTGTGTGATCTCCGGACTCAATCTGTGCTTGCATGCGCATTTCCGTGCTTTTCTGCTCGTTTCCAGGCGTTGCTGTGCCGCGCGGACAGTAGCTGTCCCGGCGGAGTCAAGGTGCTGCCTCTCAGCAAAGACCACTCTCCGTCGCAGGTATGCTTCTGGTGATTCTGTGCCAGGTTTGGCTGACCAGCTCCTTCCTATGCTGACTTAGTTTCTGAAGCCAGTCTGCCAGGCTACACTATAGTACTTGTATGCACGAGTCCTGAAAGAATACAAATACTGTCCATCAGACTCCGATTGGCTGAGGGCTCTTGAGCAACTGTGGCAGGGAAGCAATCCTGGACCCAAGCTGGCTAAATTAACATTCAAGAGGGTTGGGATTCCGTATGTACAGTTTTATGATATAGAAGAAATTTTCGAGTTCTCGTTGCAGTGGATGAGACTACTCGGCATTGTTCTATGTTCATTTCTTGTTTCTGCACTCCAGTATGATGAACGGCAGCGTATTCAGAAAGCTGGCGGTGCGATCAGGTAAGACGGATGTGTCACACACTCATTGCACCTGCAACCAATCATCACACAAATTTGCCCTTACTTTCCTTTGTGTACGTTTTGTGTACTGCGCCGTGTCCACCACGGGGGCATTGGTTACTCTTGAGCTTATAAGGTACTAGTACACTTCCTCTGTGTTTGCCAGTACGTGTACTTCCCTTTGCTGTGTTCTCGTCAAACCATTCCTGCCAATCAGTACCGTACCGGGTATTTCCCCAAATATAAGTCTCACCCCTTTACACCTATCTTCAAGGGCAAAAAAGACTTGCAATCGAATGTGACATCCTACTTGTGTGAGTATATTGGAACAATATGGTTCAAGCCTGGAAGTGGGGTGCAACTTTAAACCGAGTGTGACTTATGATCAAGGAAATATGGTCCCTGTACGTGTTTCTGCGTTGACGTTTCTCAGAGTTGTGACTGTGCTGCTAACGGTGCTGAGGAATCTTAATCTTTTCTCGTATATGTGATCGTGCGACAGGGATGGGCGCATTCTCGGCGTGCTAGAAGTGTCGAGATCGATCGGCGACGGCCGCTTCAAGGGACTCGGTGTCAGCAACACCCCGGACGTGCGCCGCATGCAGCTCGTCGCCGACGACAGGTTTGTACTGATGGCGTGCGATGGTCTGTTCAAGGCGTTCGGCTGCAAGGAAGCTGTGGAACGTGCCAACGCTTTGCTGGACGTGAGTAGCACAGTATCAGCTTTCTAAGTTCGGTTTTTAACGAGCTCTGATCACATCAAGGAAGGTTATAAGCTGTGTTGCCACACCTGCCGACATGTCAGTAGCCTGCCGATTTTTGAGGCATGTCACGACCTGCCGACAATTGACCTTCTCCTGCCGACAACAGCCATGAAAGTGTTCAAGTTTGACCTTATGCATGGTTTAGGAGCCATGGTCCAGATTTTTGACTTTTATTGCGCATCACGAGTATTTCCATAGCTCTCTCCTGAGGCGCTAAGCGAAATCATCCGTCTCGGGGAAAAATCGGCAAACTCAGTCTGAGTGTCACGCAAAAACCGTGAAATGTTTTTTTCTTATCTGTGCCGCATGTGGTCGCTATATAGGGGGGGGGGGGGGGGGGGCGGGGGCTAAAGCCCCCGGATGATGCATTTTATTTTTTCATGCTACTGATATTTGGCTAGAATGATGTGGCAACACTGTTATAAGTGTATTAGGAGTATTTCTCCAGTAAAAAAGTTAATAACCATACACCCTCACAATACTCCAGCTGGACGGGAGTAGTAGCTTTCTAACTTTTCGTTATAAATCCGTTGATCCCCGAGCTGCAGAGCGTGCTCAATGTCATAGTAGACAGAGCTAAGAACATAGCAGGCTCGGCGGAGGACATGCAGTTTGGTCATAACTCCGAGTTCGTGCCTCAACTCAGTGGTCTGATGATTGCCTAGCGGCATGAAGGTCCTCCGCTGAGTCTGCTATGTAACTTCTCTTTATAATGAGTTCTGATCGTACAAAGGAAGGCTATAGGTGTAGTAGGAGTAGTAATTGTCGCGAACCATGGACATACCTTTTACATAAACCACTCGAAGCAGACCATATTTCCTTAGTGCCCAATTTTCTTGTGAATCAAGACTGAAGAATATTTACAAGGGGAGAGCGGTAATATAGGTGAGTCGGAGTGTATGCCTGTAGCAGTAGTGTGCCGTGAAAGTGTCTTGCGTACAGCGTCAGCAGAAATATACAAGCGATAAATATACAAACGCATCGAAATTAGCTCCCAAGGAGTAGCGAAGAATCAAAGAGAAGCAAGAAGAGCACCAAGTTGTGGAACTAAAACAGCTCCACGTGCATGTAGCTGAAAAGGTGACACATAAAGATACGCACGGTGCAACGAGTCCAACTGTGAGCATGAAAATGGATAGTGAAGGCCATCAAAGATGCCGATAGTCGTACACACAGTCCGTGTTGGATGTCGGTGCGTGTGCAAGCCAAGGTGCATGGGTTCAAACTGAATCAAAGGGTGCCCGGAACGGAAACATTAGAAATGCAACGAATATCAATTGCAAGGTGAGAAAAGGGTGCCCAGAATTGAACCTTAGAAATGCAACGAAATGCAAAGTGAAAAAGGGGTGTCACAAAGGGATGCGAGTGATTGAACGTACAAATCATGCACTGAACAAGGATACATGTATACGTAGCTGTGAATTCTTGGTTATATACATGCATTGTGCTCGTGACTACTACGAATAAATCCGATCGCATTCGCGACAGTAATAGCCATACATCATCACACTCCTCTCCAAGCGGTCTCTGCGCTACACCAATCACTGAAAAAGAATAAGGTCATCCAAATTTTCGGGCAACACCCATCACATTCGGATGACCTTATTCTTCTTCAGTGGTTGGTGTAGCCCAGAGACCGCTTGGAGAGTGTGTTGTGCAGATGTATGGAGTACTAGTAGTAATAGTAGAACTTGTGTTTTTACTAGGGGCATCCCAACAGGCGATGTCTTATAACAGGGAACATAAGATGAAGTTTAGTCTGATGAGCGAAAATGGCGGGAGATTATGCCTGACGACAGTACAAGGGAAGAGCATTCCACCGATCTGCCGCCACAAAGGAAACTGAGTGCAATCCATAAGCAATGCGTGCGGAAGGTAAAACTGTAAGGCTTTTGTATCCTAGCCATGAGTATAAGCATGTGTGTATGGGCCAGCTGCACGAACGAGAAACTAGTAATTGAATAAGAGCAAGAGTACATAACCCCAAGAGTGTGCAACTGGCTGCACACGCTCTATCCAGTGCTGCAACGGCAGAACTCCACATCACGTGACTTGGTTCAAAAGGTTACGCTGGCAAACAGTGCAAAGTGACCACAAGAGATTTGAACCCAAAGCAGGGCTGCATACAGCCCTGTATCTATCATACACAGGAAGCTAATAATTATGTGTACGGGTTGGTCACGTGATGGAAAGTTCTGCCGTCGCAGATCCTATATCTTTATAATCTCTTCCTGAATTGGATTGAAACTTTCAGGAGCTCAAACCAACTCGGGTAGGGTTGCAAAGAAAGTTGGAAAATGACGGTGGGACCAAGCCAGCTTACGGCGCTGCAGCTTTGCAGCCTTGCTGGATGCCACACGTTTTCTTGCCGTCTCCTTCCTTGCGTGTTCAGCGGCAATGGTGGCAGCATGACGGCTGGGAGAGGAGAGTCCAGCCTGAGACACCACAACATCCACATACCCTGGCCCCTCGTTCTTCTGGAGCACTGCAGCTGCGGTCCGGAAGTCATGTGATTCGCTCCCACCATAGCATCGCGACTTCGGAGCTTTGCTGGCGATAATGTTTTTCAATTACTCATTGCTCTGACTACTGCCAAGCGGAGAGAGGCGTTCAGCGTGTGCTGCAAGACCATCAAACACACCAATGAGGAGTTTCTTGATCTCCAGGCATATCAAATCCTTGCCATATGGGAGACTGGAGTGTTTGTAGGTGGCAGGATCCTTGATGTAGCCACACCACTTCTCTGAGCAAGTCGAATGGTCCCCGTAAGCATTCGGAATGATTGACAGTAACGTGTTGCAGAGGCCTCCTGAGTCGTCTTTGTTGTTGCGCAACGCGTACGAAAGCATCTGATGCGGCCCTTGACGCCCTCAAAGTTGTACAATTGCCAGTGTGCAACCAGTGTGCAACCAGTGTGCAACCAGTGTGCAACCAGTGTGCAACTTGTACAGTTTGTAATAACATCGCATCAACATCAACCGCATGGCAGAGCTGTGTGTGTGTGTGTGTGTGTGTGTGTGTGTGTGTGTGTGTGTGTGTGTGTTAGTGTGTGTGTGTGTGTGTGTGTGTGTGTGTGTGTGTGTGTGTGTGTGTGTGTGTGTGGGTGTGGGTGTGGGTGTGGGTGTGGGTGTGGGTGTGGGTGCATGGTACATGCGTAAAGTTTAACATTACAAATCGTCAAACAGCTCTCTTGCCGTTTCATCTTCGTCCTCTTCAGCAGCTCCAGTCGATGAGTTCCACTTTTCCGCAAATCCATCCGCTAGCTTGGACAGCTCTACGTCAGAAATGATGAATGACTCACCATCACCCTCCTTCCATTCTCTTAGGGTTGCCCCCATCTTCTCGACCTTCTCGACCGGGCACGCGCCCAGAGTGCACTTGTACTTTTTCGAGTCCCGCCACCATGACGCTGCCGATACGAATACGACGTAGCGTTGGGGCTTATTCAGTTTGAAGTCCTCCATTGTTAGAGTTGTCGTTGCTTTCACGTAGATATCCACACCGACCTTCTTCCCTCCTTCAGCTGGTGTCGACAGCTTTGTCGGGAAGAAGTTAGTCGAGAGTTTGTGCACTCTCTCTGAAATAACCGCCTGGCGGACTGAGGGTGAAACCCGTAGCGCTGATTTCACTACTTCAAAGTATGTCCTTCAATTCTACGGGTAGCTCTATCGTGACTTGGGAATATTTTCCCTTGCGGGCTATGCCCTCGCATACAAATGCGGAGGCAGTAGCCTCTGGATAAAAAAACGTCGCACCAGGTGCGAGGTCTGGGTAGGTTCTCCCCCTACCCTTGTGCCTCGTTTGAAGCCCCTTATACCAAAGTGTAAAAACCACGCCAAACAAAGACAAGTGTAACATTCATTTCAGTTCAGCACAAGTAAAGAAGACGGAGATCGTTTCGAAGCAGTTTATTTCACACACAGAGCAGCAGGGCTTCAATATTTTGTGCGGCCACCGTCTGCTTCAATTAGGGCGTCAACACGACGTGGCATTAACTCCACGTATGGGGAAACCGTGTCAGGAGCCAACGAGTCCCACTCCAGGTGCAGTGCCTGCACCAGTTGGTCAGCATTCTCGCAGCGATGTGGAATTATTCTCTTCTTGAGAAGAGCCCACACATTCTCGATTGGATTCATGTCCGGCAAGCAGGGAGGTTGAAACAGGATGTTGGGTACTCCGCTATCGAGAAGATCCTGCTGTGCTTGAGCTGACGTGTGGGAGGTAGCATTGTCGAGCTGCAAGGACCAGTCCTTTGCGAAGAATCCGATGCCACTCGGTACAATGTCGGCTGCCATTCCTTGGGCGAACGTTGCTGCATTCCATGTCGGAGCAAAGGACAAATGCCCAACGGTTCCGAAAAGTGAAATGGCCCCGAGAACGTGCACCTTTGCTGGATAGTGTGGCACCTCGATGATTGGCTTGTCGTCCCGCGGGTACCAGGACATAACACGTCCGTCAGGACCCAAGGCAAAGCATGCTTGGACGGTGTGGTTCGACATCTTTTTAGGTCTGCTCACGATTGCACCTTTTCCCCATTTCTTTCTTTGATGAAGTACTGCGTGTTGAGAAGGATGTCTTCTTGCCGCACTACGCGGTACCTCTGCAGCATCTGCTGATCTGATGGATGTGCAACCGACCTTTCTTTTCGGTGCAAGCGGATGCGTTGTTGGAGAAGGTGCGTCAACTGAGGAGTCATCCACAGTTGCGGCTATGGCTTGCTGAAGGCGGGTAAAGAAATGCGGCGTGTAGGTGTAGGTGCATGCTTAGTGACTCTCTTCACTGCCTCCACAAGACACATTTAGTTCCCAAAGAGGCAAAGACCTTCCATGCCTCCTTTTCAGCAGGGCAATTACAGGCAAATGATAGCATTCTCGGTGTTTATTGTTTTTGATGGGGAGTCTGATCTACTCACCTCCCTTCTTCTAGTGCCCCAGAAGCTTTGTGAGGATGCTTGTGATCCATGGGGTAGTGTTTTCTCAGTAGAAATAGAGATGGAGAGAGAGAGACTTGTTTTCTTTTCTTGGCTATTCTCGTTGCACACAGGATGAATCTCTGGATCTCAAGCCTCCTGCCGGTGAGTGCTAACTATGTTAGCCCGGTGCACTGCTGATTTGTGTTTGCGTAGAACGAGACTTTTTTGTAGTGATGTAAGGAATATTCGAATTATTCGAATATTCTAGAATACCAACACCAGAAAGAATATTCGAATGCAGGCAGCATTATTCGGTATTCGAAAATTCGAAATATTGGCACTTTTTGGTTGTGTTATTTAGCTCCAACCTTGATCTCCTGAACAGTATTGAGGATGACAGTATCGAAATTATTTTCCGAGAACTGTGAAGCTTGTTCTTGGGTAAAATCTGCTCTGTAACCAGTGGGAATGTGATCTGTATGCAACATGAATGTTGGGTCTGATGGAGTGAAGTGATCGACGCACATCACACGAATATAGAATATCCGTTTGTTCGTCAAAGAATATTCGTTCGAAGAAAACACCATTCGTTACATCACTAGAACTTTTTTGTTACTGTAAATCAACACATGTTCGCCATTCTCAACATAAAACTTTTCACCGTCTTCAAACTGTGGTTGCTCGCCATTCTCTAACGAGAAATCGGTGGTATTCGTTCTCGCATGCAGCTGTGGCCTGAGCTTGCAATACTCAGATGTGGTGACGTACATTCGCTGATGATTTACTTTGATCAGGTTGCATCAAGTGGCGAGATCGGCCAATGTGGTGTCCATTGTTGTATGGTGACTCGGAGTCAGCAGCTGTCCTCTGAGTGACGTGTAAAAAAACGTGTAATTTGGTGGCTTCCTCTGATGGGTTTGCATGATGAAAATTCAGGTCGCCGGTTGCTCAGTTTGCCGGCTGATCATCAGTAATGAGTCAAACATCAATGCCGTGTTTCTCATTCAAATCTAAATTATCTTATGGCTATGTTGTTGTTGTTGTTGTTGTTGTTGTTGTTGTTGTTGTTGTTGTTGTCGTCGTCGTCGTCGCCGCCGCCGCTGTTGTTTTTGTTGTTGGTGGTGGTGGTGGTGATGGTGGTGGCGGTGCTGCTGTTGTTGTTATTGCGTGTGCACAGCCGGTGAAAAGCCCGACCCAATGCGGGCACGCTGCGAAGCTGTGTGTGATCGGCTGTGCGTGGAGGCAGTCAAGCGAGGCTGCAGTGACAACGTTACCGTCATGCTGATCAGAATCGAGCACCAGTCGGCGTAGCACTGCCAAACAAAGCATAACCCTGCAGTAGTTGAACTGTTCTTCTTCGTTATGTTCGTCACCCAATGCAGCCGCTGCGTTTAGTTGAAGCACGCACGTACTTCGAGTACCCCAGAGCCCTGCCTGCTGAATGTAATCTGGTAACTTCAAGGTCACTACTGGCTGTGTTCACCGTATGATTCCCGTTGAAGTTACTTGCAGTAGGTAGCGGCTAGTTAGCCACACCATGATACTGCTCTCTGCTCGTGCTGTGTACGTGCAGAATTTGCAGATACATGCACATGCCTTGTGCTTTTTGCTTCCTCTTTTTTGTCACTGCATTTTTTGATATTTTTAAATCCGGAATAAAAGCTTCACTGTTTTCTCTTCTTTTTTTTAGCTTCATTAAATCATGTCAATCACACTGTGATGTGTTGGCTTGATTGTGCTGGTGATGCAGCTCACCATGATAAGAGTAATGTCGTGATGACTGTTTTTTAACGTATTGTACCGGCGTATGGAACTATAGACTCTTGCTCTATTCAACCAGGAGTTCTTTTCTCTTCAAACTTGACCTCTGATCTTTGCCCTCTTTTTTAAAAAATTGTTCTGCTTCAGTGTTTGGTGTGGCCATGCCTAGCTCAGCATGCTTGTCGTTGTTGTTGTCGTCGTCATTGCTTTATTGAAGATTAATTTTAAGTCACATGTAAGACTGCACCTCACTGCATCACTTTGTATGGAGTACGAGTGGCATTGTACCAGCATGTACTTCCTCCCTATCATGCGGGTTTTGAAGTGGAGAAGTGTTGGCTCTGTGTGCGTGTGTGTTGTGGGCCTGTACCCATTTGGTGTGGCTCCAACAAGGAACTGAGTCTGAGGACTCTAAAAACAGCAGTTACCAGGGGTTACTGTTATTAGTATTTTACTTCAGTGATAGACGTCCACTCCACGGCCACACACTGCACAGTCAGGGCCTAGGGGAGGGGGTAGGTCGATACGCGTACTGCGCGTAGTGCATGCCATTCGCAGAGGCGCGCGCCCGATCTGCTTGAGTGATAGCATGCATGCATGCCCTTATTTTGTTGGCGAAGCGAGCAAACTGTTTTTCGTAAAATTTTGCCGGGAACATTATGAGTTTTCAAATGGCCAACAACACTTCAACAAGTCAGGACAAGTCAAAATTTGATCTGCTTGCGGAGCTTCTTTCAATGGACATGGACAATGATCATGATGATGGAGGTTGATATAAACCAGTAGGTCGGCTAGTAGACTACGTGTCATAGCAGAATGTCCTGTGCATCGACCATGGATTGCGTTTGAAGCTGAACGTCCTCCTGGACGGGGAGCTTGTAAAAAAATGAGTTCCTTCGATGGTGTGGTTCGCGAGTATGGCGGTGTTATCATCGACCAGTTTTGTTCGACGAACTGCAGGCGAGGCAGAGCGTTTTTCCTCAGCCATTGCCACAAAGATCACATGACCAACTTGTCGTCGACGGAGCTGAGCAGCACACTGCGTTCTGGCGGTGGTGCTCAGGGCCTGTATTGCTCCAGGACCACGCGGGACCTGCTGCAGGCCGATCCTGACTTTGAACATCTGCGTGGCTACCTGGTCGGCCTGCCCGTGGACGAGCCCATTCCAATGAACTATATCTACACTGATGGCAGCGATGAGAATGGCAAGCCGGGCGAGATTGAGTTCACAGTCACCCTGATCCCTGCCGGCCATTGCCCTGGCTCAACAATGTTCTTGTTTGAGGGCACGCATGGCAATGTGCTGTACACAGGTGATTTTCGACTGGCTGTGGGCGATTCAGCACGGCTGTCTGCACTGCAGACCTGCTCCGGCTCTGCCAAGGACTTTGCCGCGGTGTACCTAGACACTACGTTCTGTCACCCGGCTGTACCTCGGCTACCGTGCCGCTCGCTGACCAGGGCCGTGGTGCTGTCGGCAGTGGAGCGATGGCTTGCGCAGGGCGAGAGTCATTACGTGGTGGTGCGCGCTCCGACGTTTGGCTACGAGCACGTATGGGTGGCGCTGCACGAGCGTTTTGGCATGCCGATACACGTCAGCGACCGTGTGCTGGGCTACTACACCAAGTCCCTGTCGGAAGTAGCGCAGTGCCTGACCAGCGATGCCAGTGTGACTCGTTTGCACTCGTGCCGATGGGACTCAAGCATCACGACATCGTACCGCTCTCACCTTCCCTGCGGCCATGTACCGAGCTGCGGTGCTGGCAAACCGAGCATCATGCACGTCAAGATGTCCGTCATGAGCTTTGTGCGCGGTAACTGCATTCCCGAGTCCGGCGTTGTAGAGCACGCGCACGGCATTCACGCTGTGCACTCCATGCACGCGTCCTATGACGAAGCGAGAGACCTTGTGACGTTTCTCTCGCCAAGGCGAGTGCAAGCGTGCGTACACCCCGCCGGCCCTAAATCCTCTCACGGCAGCACAATGCGCGATGCGGAGAATTTCTTCAAGGACCTGCTGCACGACAACGGGGAGAGAAGCCCGGTTAAGGATGCCGAAGAACTCGTAATCTCGACAGCTTGTTTGAAACGCCAAGCGTCCTGGCCCAGCAGTAAGCCCCTCGCCGCAACGGACAACTGCCCACGACCCATTGATCCAGGCCCGGAAGGCAGTACCACGCAGAGCACGACAGCAGAAGCGGTGTCAGTGCTGAGTCGCCTGAGCGAGGGCGGTGACGATGACGATGAGCGGGCTCTTCCGCTGCCGCCGAAACGTCGTCGCCGGGGTTAGGGGGCTCAGTGCTGGTTCCTGGAAGCTATGGTGAGCCACGCATGCACTGTTAGGGGTTCAGTGCTGCTTCCAGTAGCCTATGGCGAGCCATGCATGCACTGTTAGGGGTTCAGTGCTGCTTCCAGTAGCCTATGGCGAGCCATGCATGCACTGTTCTACTGTATACTGTGTGTACTATCCACTATCCAGGCATATGTACTTACATTGCTAAATTGCTTTCTGCCACATGTCCTGTTACACGGACGCATTGATGACAATCGAAGCCGGTACAGTATTAACCTTCATAGGATTCCGATTATATATCAACATTTAGAGACACGATCAACTTGAGCTGACACGTATTTATGACGTCGAAATGATGACCGTTTTAGAATAGTATTTTCTTGGAACTAGTAGCAGATGTACCGATACAAGTACGTACAATATGTCACATGGCAGTTGATATTTCTGCTGGATTTTCACGTACGTGTGCGTGTGTGTGTGTGTGTGGGTGTTTCACATGGTTTGTACAATATTTGATAAATAGGGAGTCGAACTAGATTTTTAAACATAGGTGCTGCTTTATAGGATATGCATTCATACTAGCGAGCATTGAAGTTGGTATCGGAGAACACGTTCATATCTCTAGCAATTTTTATAATTTGAATAAAGTAAGTACAGTTATGTGTTGTGCATTGTTTTATCCATCGTTCCCTTCTCTTTTCAGCATTGACTTGAGTTGAAAAGAGATACCAGTTGGATGTTGATCATTGACGGATCCGGATGGCTGGAGCTCTGTAGGCTGTTGGCGATCATGGTTGATGTCGTTTGCTCGCCTATGTCATGAGCTGAGTTTAGTGTTGTGCTGGGCAGCATCTGCGTCATTCTTTGCCTGTGCGTGGCTCACAGAGTCACTTACCCAGTGCTGCTGTGGTGAACTCTTGTCCTTTCATCTGTAGATGCTTTTCCTGTTTTGTTCCTCTACTGCTTTCCTCCAACTACAGGACACAAGTTACTCAACCGAGGGACGGATTAACTCAACCGAGGGACGGATTCCAGGCAGGAGGTTGCTGAGTGTTGGCACTGCTCGTACTCGACTGCACCGCACTGCTTCCGGCGGTGGTGGCAGTGACGGCGGTACTATCCTGACTCACCGGACATGACACCACCGCGGCTAGCAAGTCTTCCATGCCTCCGCCGTTACCCACGACGAGCGGAGGAGGTACGTGCGAGTCGCTGCTCGCTGCGGCGACTCCAATGCTTGCGGCAGCGTTGTGCACCGCAGGTGCTGCTGCTGCTGCTGGTGTTGCTCCGCCAACTCCGGTTGGGTGTGCTGCTGTGAATTCCGGCAAGCCAAAGCCGGCTGCAGTTAATCCCGGTACTGATAGCATGCCATGCTGGCCCAGGTAGTACCCGTTACCTAGGCTACTGCTGACGCCATTGGAGTGATTTCCGCTGACGACCGGAACGTCACCCATTCCACTGCATGCAGCCGCAGCAGCAGCAGCAGCGGCTGCAGCAGGCACCGAAGGCAGACCAGCTGGCAGCAGGCCGGTAGTATCGTACATCGGCGGAGTGTAGATGTTGGGTACTGGCACGGGTGCCGGTAGCTGCAGCGCTCCTCTCGCATGCGTCAGCTCCGGTGAGCTGCTGGAGCTGCTGGACACCGAGTACAATAGGCCCCGGCTGGGCAGGACGGACGTTACTGACGCCACGCCGTTGCCTCGCAGTGCCAGCACACTACGTGTCTGCATCGGCTGTGCTATCCCCATCATTGGCAGCTGGTGTCTGCCGTTGAAGCTAGCGTAGATGCCGTTGCTCGTCGGCACGTCCAGCAGCGCGCTCTGGCTGTGAAACGGAACTGTCAAGGTGGTTTCAGCAGCAGCGCTAGCTGCGGCGTCAGCCATGCCATTGTTATGTGCCATACCCGGCAGCATGGGCGCTCCAGTTATGCCAGCTGCTGCTGCTGCTGCTGCCAAGGGTGTAGCCATGCATGGATTGGCCCCACTGGGGACGTTGAGCAGTGCAGGCATCTCTCCCAGTACGTGCGCTGTGGCGTGCGGCGGCATTGCATAGTTAATATTGGTAGCCGTGGAGAACGTTGGGACGTCGCCTTGCATTCCCAAGGACAAGCCGGCCATCTCGAAATCCTGTCTTCGTGCCTCGGCAACGTATCGGCTACGGTCCACGGTCTGCTTGACGCGTTTCATTCTCTTTCGCCGCTTGAAGTTTCCGTTCTCAAACATCTTCTCACAGCTGGGATCGACCATCCAGTAGCGCTGGCGTGGATCGCTCACTGAATCCTGGAAGAAGCAGTTGTTCAGCGACAGGTTGTGCCGTATGCTGTTTTGCCACTTCCCTTTGTTCTTCGCCTGGCCGTAGTAGGGGAATCTCTCTCCGACGTACGCGTAGATCTCCTTCAGTGACAGTCGCTTCTGCGGACTCTGCAAGATAGCCATGGCAATCATGGCGACGTAGGAGAATGGTGGCTTGGCGTCCTTTGGCTGGCCCTCTTCTGGCTGAAAGTCAATGTGCTCCAGGCTGAGCGTGTTTTCTCCCTCCGTTGCCGTCGTCGCCGTTGACGACGTGGTGGATCGCGGCGAGTGCTGAGCGTTTGCTCCGTCGGCACCCGTGCCAGGGCTGCTCGCACCCGCATGGCTTGCTAATCCCGAGCTGCTGGTGGCCAGGTGTGGCGTCGGAATCTTGCATGCCAGGCCAGCCGCCTCTACTGGCTGCCCAGGTCGTAGGGTGACATTCCACGGGACGGGGCAGTTCTCGTCGTCACCCGGCATTTTCCACTGCTCCATGCCGGTTGTGTCCGGAGGGTCGCTGTCGCTCAGCATTGAGGACTGGTTACTGCTGGACCCGGACGAGTGTGAGCGTGCCGACGTCACATCCAAGACATCCTGCCGCCGCTGCGGCCCCATCGCTGCTGGGACTGGTGCCGTGAGCAGCCAATTGCCGGAATTCTCCGCGTTCTGCTGCTGCTTCTGCTGCTGCGCCATTGCCCGTACAAGCACTGTTGCTAGATCACCTATGCCAAGCTCAGTCGTATAGAAGCATGCCGGAACACCTGTGAACACCACCAAGGTCCTGGTTAGCTCCCTCCAGCATGCAGCAGAGCGTGGTCCATTGCCACCCTGCTCTATGCGGAGTCTCTGTGTGACTCCCACTCCTCTATGCCTAGCTCACCAGTCTCAAACTAGCTTGTTTTCACCCCCTGGCCGCTCCTTATACAGAGTAGATCTCTTGCTGCTGAATGGGTGCCTTTACAGACCTCTAGTTCTCTGCTTTGCCTTTGCTTTTGCTCTGTCCGGGTTCTACAGCCTTGGCTGTGATGTGTTTGCACTGTAGCAACCCCTAGAACCATCAGATTTCATTTGGTCTGACTTGGTACTGAAATGATCTGTTTTGCTTGCACTGTCTGTTTGGTTCTTTTCACTGCAGAGTTGTGCCGGGGTTGTACGGGCAACATTGCTTTTCCGCAGAAAGGTCATCCCGTCGTCGGACAATCTTGCTCGCGCACTGCATCATCATCTCGTGCATCCTGGCGTGCGGGCATCACCGCGCCAACAGCGGAGCAGTTCCTGGTGAAAACGGGCCACGTCCGGACAGCTCGTCCTACCACGCCTGTCAACTGGCATCTGTCACCAGCGCTGGCGTACATGTCTCACTGTAAGTACGTGGACATTGTAAGTATGTGTATACCTCTCTCTCCATTGTGTCAGCTGTAGACATAAACCTGAAATCCTGATTCACGTAATTGCCTGTTACCGCCCATTACATGGACATCACCGAGAGGCTGTTTGCTGTATTCGGGATCTTTCTTGTCGCCGTGCTGTTCGACGTGGCACTGGCAGTGGGGTCCTGTTTTTAGCACCAGGAGTTCTGCGGAACTCAGGCGCTTCCATCTAACTCCTCTGAGCCATGTGTCATGTTTGTGTCCGAACGGTACATGCACACACGCACGCCTGTTTCTCGTTTGGCCAATGGCGTCGTCACGCAGTCATGTCTGCTGCTAGGCAGCTTGTTGTTGATTGTTCGTCAGCCTACTGGATGTGTTTTGCCTCTATTCGGACTCTCACTAAGATTGAAAACTCAAATCTGATTCAAATGTGAGTTTCACGAGGAAATTTGTCACTCATATTCTGATATTTATTAGCTGAGGGAATGGAAAAGGGAGAAGTCTGAAGAAAAATTGACTGTCACCACCAGGATTCGAGCCAGGATGGTCCACGTATTAATGATGGTGGATTTACATTATTCTTTGGTGCCGTGAATGTTTCTTGTTTCTGCCCATCTGTATCCAGGTAGAGCATGTCACTCTGTGTGTGTGTGCGTCCGTACAGAAGGTAACACCATTAACTTGGAATGTCCAGACTGGCTTGTGCACTAGGTGTTGTATGCTCTGATCCTGTTTTGCTTATGAATAATGAATGGTCTAGGCTTGTTTCGTTTCGATTGGAGGCTTTGTTTGACAGTGATCTCTACAGTGGGGTGGGCATTGTTTGCACCGATGGAGATACTGCTGAGATAGGTTATTTCATAACTATTACTTGCAAAGGCTGCTTCAGTTCACCGATTTGCTGTTTCAATGATGAGTGTTGCTGAAGAGACGGCAGGGTAAACAATTACTCTGCCAATCTTGGAGGACTTTTCACTTTAGTATCCAACTAACTTGAGCCTACATAGTAACTGCCTGAGCAATGGCGAAGATGCACAGTCATTCATTCTGGATGTCCTGCTGTGCACATACAGAAAACATCCTGTACCCTGTTTCAAGCCACTTTTCATACTCACCTACGCATGAACACACGCCATGTACACACACACACACACACGCACACACACACGCACAAACACACTCTTATACTTACACGCAAAGCTTTTAAATGCACACGGACACACATACACACGCACACGTACACACACTCACACACACACACACATACACACACACACTCTCTCTCTCTCTCTCTCTCTCTCTCTCTTGTTCATTTTTCCTTCCATGACACCTTTATCGCGTGCTACCGACTGGAAGAACACCGCCGCAGGCCATTGCTTCACATTACTGACAGATGTCTGCCGTGAATCTTGACACATGTCTTAGGCAAAACATGTCAGCTTGTCAGGCAATGATCGCAATCCACTCTTCGACGAGCCGGACACACGGTTTTACAACGCACCTGTTCTATTTTAGAAATTTCTTCACGAACAACAGCGTGGCTATGTTAGATCACTAACAGGCTCTTCTCCTGTACTTTAAAGACCTTGGCATGATTTCACTGGAAGCCTAACAGCAGAAGCTTCATCATACGTAGATGGCAATGTGAGCGAGTGATGGCTATGTCGGCCGATCTGCAGTGATACAATGGAGGGAGTATCTGTCCGCAAACACAAGCTTCAGTTACATGTCCTCGCCCGCCATGTTAGTTCCTTGTGCACTTGCCTGGTAGTGCCATTGATTTTTATGTGACACCCCGGACTCACTGGCTGGCTTTCGGTGTTACTAACTGATCGGCTGGTTGGATGCCATGTATGCTTGACCCCCTGTGTATCAGCCCTGTGCCAGATGGCATACATGTAGCCGTGTGACCTTGAGAAATCTTACACGTACATAACCACACACCCATCAAAACTCATGTCATTGTTGGATGCAGGGGAAATCACACGCCAGCTGTCTTATGTGGATATGAGCCTGCATGGGTGTGACACCCTCGTGCACACCAGCTTTGGGTTGAGATCTCAGGCATTATTAAATTTTGCTTTTATTAACCAACCTGCAAAAAAATTGGAAGTCACTGGTGAACAGTATCTCTTAGTACTGTACAATGTATATCCCCGGGGCCTATAGAGGTTGTTCGATTACATCATCATATTAGGTACTTCTTTGTATGGGGTGGTAAAGCAATTGCATCATATAATTATTAGTTGCTCTGTATGGGGTGGTAATGCGATGACATCATCCTTTGAGATACATTGCAAACTATTACTTGATTGCAACTAAAGTTAGTTAGTTACATGTCGGGTGTCATGGCAAGGTCTGGTTTGCAGCTCCAGTGCACAGCAATGTTGTCATTCGTGTATCCTCTCTAGTTCTGCTAGGACAGTGCTGCTCAATGAAATCCGGTGACGTGAGTCAAGTTTGCTCCTGCACTATTTCGCAGCCCAGTGTTCGCAGGTCTAGAGGGCTACACAACGCCTGGCGCGTACTTGAGTGACTCGACTGGATTTCAGTGAGCAGTACTGTGGGCCTTACAGGGTCAGAGTGCTCAGTGCGGGTGCTGACCAGGGAGTGGTAAAATGCCGGTATTTTACTACTCTCTGGTGCTGCCTGGTCATCACTCTACGTGTAGCGCTTTCCCACCCACACGGTACAGTGGAAGAAAACCTGTCTCTGTACCCAGAGTTTCCGGCTCCTTGCAATCATCAGCAGACTAAGTCTCCTGCTAAGTCTCCTGCTAAGTCTCCTGATGATTGCCTGAAGGCACATGATGAAACTCTCTGAGTAGCAGGTTTTCTTCCACTGTACCTTGTGTATACAGTAGTTCTGTTACTGACTGGCGTACATGTATCAGTATTCCTGGCACCGTTGCTTGCATCAAGACTCAATGAGTATGTACTCTTGCATGAAAACACATGCACAGACTCTCATTGCATGTTGGCTGCAGTCGTGTAAGTGCACGGATGGCCGTTCTGTCCTTTCGGCGTGCGCTCTGCGCTGCAATGTACTAGTACGGAGCAATCTCCCACTGTCACAACTGGCTACACATGTAAGCACAGAGATAAAAACAAACTAACGTTTACTTGTACATGCACGCACCCACCACCCACCAGACAATCAGCGCACACTCCATAGTATGCATCGCGTGCAATTGTCAGTTTTGTGCAATAAAATGGCAGGAATCCTCAAGACAGCATCTCAGAGCTCTCGGCTTAGCGCGGACTGTACAGTGGAGAAAAAACTCAGCTTCACAGAATATAAACATAGACCGGAAATTCATATTTAATTTGGATAGATTTCGGGAAATCAACAGCTATATTGATAACTTTCTGATCATCAAATTAGAAACTTTGTAACATAGCAAACTGACGCTGCACTGTAGTTTACTGTCATTGTACTGATCTGAAAATATAGAGCTGGGTTTCAAGGATCAAGTTGTCATGGTCATTCAGTGGTTTGAACTCTGTACAGTGGGTGGGTTCGACCAGTTGCGGGAATGTCTGACAGGTCAGAAACGTCTTGTTTGGCTATGGCATTATTTTGACAAAGTTCCGAGTGGAAGACTGTAGTGTCTCCGCCATTGCAATGTAGCACTTAGCAGGCTGCAGTGTATGAGTAAATGAGTGCAGTGATGATAATGACAGGATGCCTATCCGGTTCTGGTGCTGACGGAGCAAGGAACTAAAATGACATCATGCGTGTATTATTGCCATGGAGATCTAGATAGCCAGTACAGCCTACAGGAGCAGTTTTGCAGGGCATCAATGAGTGCAGTGATGATAATGGCACGATGCCTATCCAGTTCTGGTGATGACGGAGCAAGGAACTAAAACTACATCATCACGCATGCACTATCGCGATGGAGATAGCCAGGACGACCAGCAAGAGCAGGTTTGCAGGGCTCGACTGGGCGGCCGCGGCGCGAAAGTCGCTGGCCAGCAGGCGGATGACCGGCTGTCCGCCGGTGCTCGACTGGGAGTTGTAGCACGCCACCTCCTCGTCGAGGACGTGCGACAGGCCGCGTATTCTCCCCCGTCCGGCCATGAATCCGTTGCCGAACATTCCGGGCCCACCGAAGCCACCACCCATGCCAGGACCGCCGGCGCCGAAGCCGTTCATACCGACACCTCCTGCCATGCCATTCATTTGCTGACCGCCGCCGAACATTCCACCACCCATCTGCTGCGGCTGGCCAAACTGGTTCCACTGGCCTCCACCGAAGCCTTGTTGTCCGCCGAAGCCTTGCTGCTGTCCGCCGAACCCTTGCTGGCCACCGAATTGTCCACCACCAAACTGTCCGCCGAATTGTCCACCGCCAAACTGCTGGCCTTGATTCCACATGTCCTGGCCGAAACCACCACCTCCTCCGAACTGCTGGCCACCAAACTGGTCAAATCCGTTGCCGAACTGCTGCTGGCCGAATTGATCCTGCTGTCCCCACTGCTGCTGTCCTTGATTCCAGCCACCTCCCTGTTGGAAGCCTCCCTGTTGGCCCCATTGGTCCTGGAAGCCTCCTCCCTGGCCGAACTGGTCGAATTGTTGATTCCAGCCGCCGCCCTGTTGGAAGCCACCCTGTTGTTGTCCCCATTGGTCCTGGAAGCCGCCTTGCTGGTGTTGCTGCTGCTGCTGCCAGCCGCCTTGTTGTTGTTGCTGTTGCCAGCCGCCGGGCTGCTGGAAGCCCTGGCCGACGTTGGCGCCGGGAAATCCCATGCCGGGCATCTGCTGCGGTTCCAGCGGTCCCTGCTGTCCACCCATCATGCCCATGCCGGGCTGCATCATTCCACCACCACCGCCTTGCACCATGCCCTGTCCGCCGGGC